GCCTTGATGACGTCCGTGCGGCTTCCGCTGCACCCCTCTGTTGATATTTTTTCGATCCCATTGAGGCTTTCGTTGCTAATAATCCGCACGCTAAATTGCACGCAGAGTGTCTTCCAGATCATCAATATATGAGGGTCGTAGCATCGTGAAATGTTTGGCAAGATCGCAATCATCTAAGGCATGAGTTAAATGTTCCACGTGGTCACGCCGAGCATCGAGCGATACAGCTATTGCAATGGAGTCTCATCCGATCTTTTCCAGGCGTGGTAGTACCGTCTCACTACTGGTACATTTTTTCCATAAGATTAGGCCATAATACTTTCCAATAAAGGCTTCCATAAATTAGGGGCGGCCCAGCTGGCTATACCAATTACGTGCAGATTCCGTGAGTAAATCGTCTTGAGCTTGATCACGTAGAAAAGCCAATTTTAAATTTGCTATTCCAAACCCTTGCTCGATCCTCTTCTTTATTGTTTGCAGCAAGTTCTTGTAATTCAATGATCACAGATACACCAATCCGTTGAGCCGCTATCCCACCACCGTCGATCGCCTCTGCAGTTTCCACTGATGGACGTCGCGGTATATCAAGACTTAGATCGTTCGGATCATACTGGGGCGATTCAGTATGACGCGTTACAGTATGACATGATCCCACGGACTCCATTGTAATATCAGGTGTATATTTCTCCCTGGGACTTGATCGCATTGCTTGGTTAACCTCTTGATCCGTGATTCGCTGCTCTGTGAGGAAATTCTACATTACGGCATTAAAAAATGACTGAAGTTGGCCTGATCCGAGAATATTTGCAAGTTAGATCTTTGTCTCAGGCAAATTAACTTTTGCCTTGATTGATCTTTTTTCTACGCGCAAGGGCGGCACTAGCTGGCCCCAACGTCATACACTGGATACCGCTCAAGTCATTCGAATCAATGTCGGACTCCGCCGAAGCGTACTGTGACGATCCAGTATGATTTTCCTTGGACAGTTTTTACTTAATTTGATCGCAGCCTCTTCTACGCCTTTTTCAATACAAGAGGTGATAGCTTCATTAACAAACCATTCCTGGCTGCGGTGATGCATTCCATCTCGTGGTCCAAAAGCTCATTTGCGTCAAATGGACTTGCGATGAATCCAGCGTAATTTTTTTATCAGTTTATTGAATGTTAAGCTGCGTCAATAGTATTCTTTGATCGTGGCATGATCTGTAGCGGGGTGAGAGCCCGTTACCGATGTACGTTTAAGGAAACTTGAGGAAGTGCTGTTATTGTGTAAGGGAAAATTAACTGTTTGTATTTTTGTTTTAGTTCGGCTTTGCTGAGCTCGGGTGGCATCAGTTCATTGACCCTGCTGAGACCTTTGAGTTCTTCTCTGTCTCCGGCGTCTTTCGTCGAGCCAATGTCGACGTATCACTACATACAGGACATTATGGTACAGAGGATCTTATGCAGCGCAGTGCTCTCTTGACGTGTGTCTTAGGAGCGGTCTAGCACACTTGATAGTGGCTTATATTCGCGCTGAGGAGTCCCAGTCACAACCCGAAGGTGCCTTTGCTGGCGTAAAAAACTATGTATTGAAGGAACCAATTGCAGTGCAGCAATGGGTCCGTCGTTGTCTTGAGAGCAGTGAGCGAAATGTGAGCGAAATGGTGAACGAACAAGAGTTTAGCGGCCGCGAGTCAACACGCACGACGTCCAAGACGGAGGCCGTGGAAGAAGAATTACGATGTCTCAATGGACTGCGTATGATCTTGATTACACTTTTGGAGAGATTTAAAGAAGGATCTCGTCAGGCTGCGTACAGCTTCAATGGCACAGATGTAGCGAGCAATGTTGTGAATGAGACGGAGTTCAGTCGCCTAACAACTGCAAGTATTCAGAATTTGTTGCAATTGCTGTCTCAAACTCAGAGTGCAGCGTGTGCTTGCGACTGTATCTTGTGGCTCAATGAGAACGACGTGGCGACTGAAAGTAAGATGTACAAGGCATTTTACAGCCAGGCGAGATCGCTGCGCCTTACGTACCGTGAACAGTTTGAGGAGGTTTACGGCAACAAACTTTCATCGATTAGTGGACTGAAGAAACCGATGTTGTTGATTGAGCACGTGATGAAGAGTGCGGGCATCTCACTCAAGGACCTTGGCGGAAGCTGCCCACCGACACAGTTAAGGCATCTGCTGGAGCTTCTGAGAACAGCAAGCATCCAGGAAAATGTTGTTCAGTTCTACGGTGATGAAGTTGATTGTGAACCCATTGAAGGATATTTTCGAGTGCAAGTGGCTTTGCTACTGTATTTCTGTTTGGATAGAGCCTACCTAAGTGTGTGGAAACGGCATACTCAGAGTGGTGCTCGTATTTCCAACAAAATGCGCTCATTAGCTGACTCACTTGCGGCACAATTGAGCGTGCGCGATGATATGAAGTTGACTTTGCTTGCTTTGTGGTTGATGGAGAACGCAGTCGTGGTGAACACGTCAGGTGACGACCAGGTAGCTGCTATTTACGAAAATGCCATTGGTCTTTTGCAGCAGTCGAGTGCAATGCATCTTCACCAAAAGTACGATCTGGAGATTGATTTGATTCTTTATTTGCTTGAGACGTTGGTGCATCGCGGCGAAAGTCTTGTTGCATGGAAAGTATGGAACACATTTGGAGTAGAGCTAGAGCAGTCTCCTCCCGCTGCAACAGAGTTGATTGTAGTCATATCGTTGGAGTTGGATTTGTGGGAGCGCGCGCTGTCTTTGATTCGCAGGCAGAAGCGTCCTGACTTACTAGATTTGCTATTCAAGTGGTTGATGAAAAGTTATCGTCTAAAGGAGCTAGTTCAGAGTGTGACCTTGCTGCCTGTGGAAGAGAAGTTATTCCATACATGTATGATGGAGTGCAACATTATAATGGATGAAGATGTTCTCCGCGATGACAACATCAAGCGTGTAGATTTCCTCGTGATGTACTATGTTCTCAGGAATAAGTACGAGCAAGCCTGGCATGTTCACCACGAACACCTGGCAATGATTCGAGCTATGTCCCGTGGTGATACCGAGATTGCGTTGGCTGCGTTGGGCCAGCCAAGCTTGCGCATTCGTGCCGCGTTGCTCTCTAACATGTGTCCCGAGCCTACTCCAAAGTCGTATTCACAAAGAAGTAGGAACGCCAATGCGCAATGTGAAGGCCGACAGCGTCAACGTTCTGTTCAGCCTGCTCTGTTCGAAAATGTGGAGATGAAAGACGTATCCGATTCCAAAACATCGGCGCGGACAACCTTCGAACCAACTAAACCGATTTCTAGGAAGGTCTGTGCTGAGGAAAAACAAACCACACCTTTCGGAAGTGCCTTTGTTGATGAAGAAACGGAGCCTTTAACACGTTTTCAAGAAATGGTGGACACAGGTAAATTTTGCTACTCTCCTGGTGTTTTTTCGTCTCGGCGGGGATCCAGTGTTTTGACTCGGTCTGCTGAACCACCTACACCTGTTGCAGCCGATAAGAAGACTCCAACGCTTTTGAAAGACAGAGGAAAGGTGGGTATCAGTGCTGGGTCTGTCGATTTGAGTCCGGACTCACCTTTGCACACGCTCACCAAACTGAAGTCCATTGCCGCCAATGTCACTGGGTTACGTGATGTTGCTCGCCAATCTCTGAACTTTGGGCCGTCGCCGGCAAAGCCTTCCAGCGCACCGTCTACACCGTTGCAGCATCCTGTATCCTCGTTTGGTGGTAAGAACACCTTGTTGTTCGTTGATGCTTGTACGCGCCATTATCCTAACGGAGGTACCATCTTTTTGTATCTCTAGATCGTCGCCCACTTGGCACACCGCCCATGCGAACCAAGATTAATCCTATTTTCGCATCCACATCTTTGCCGCCGTATGTGTCGAAAGCCGGAGGCTCTACTAATGGTAAGAATGGTTGCTGTTGTGATTTTGGTGATATACTAATCTTGCTTGTCTGTAGACTTTTCGCTGAAGCCACGCAATGTCGAATGCGTGACTGACATTAGCTCTCCAGTTGAAGTACAGAGCCCTGCAACGGTGGCCACTGATGTACCTGAGAATCGGACGGTGCAGCAGGCCTCGACGCCACCCCCTGATTTAGACTCTGCTGCTGTCGTGGTGACCCCAAAGCGATACCAATTCGTACGCGAGCCATTAACGAATCCCCGACTTGAAGTAGCGCACTCAAATTCAGATTATCCGATGTCACCAGCGACAGAAGAACTCGAAGGCATGATGGAGCCGGAGCGCATTGACGAGGAGTTTAGCACGCCAATTTCTCGTTTAAGAGGACGGCGGAAGGAACCAGCAAGCGCTCCCGTGCGTCGCAACCCCCGACGGTCCACTCGTCAAAAGTACTAGATCCAATATTGCAGCTTCGTGTCTGAAGAATAAAGCGATAGTATCGGCGAGACGTGCAAGCTGTGACGGACAATCTTCCAACATTGTAACAACGCCTCATCGAACTGACAACTTGTTGAGAAAAACAATTTGACTGTAACTTCGCAAAACACGAGTCATCCGAACGAACGATACTTGACGCTGGATCGTACGTACAATGTGGTTGCTATATATTGCATCTTCCTCTATCCACAGATCCTGTCACCAGGCAAGCCAATTAAAAAAAATGGAGCAGCACACAAAGCGCGGTTCACTCACTGTACAGGGCGCAGAATGTTGATGTGGTAAGCTCACTGGCACAGCTGTTATGTAGTGTGGAATATTTGACTTGCCTTACGATGTGCTGGTGTTGTTCCTGTTTCTAGTTTGTGTCTCGATCTACATTTGCAATCGTTGAGCTTATCAGATGAAAGCACAATTCTTGACAAAAAAACACCTTCAAAAGAATTCTACAACAGCTGACAACAATGTTCAAACGTTATACCTATCATTACTCGCCGCGTCATTATCGTAGTCGTCATTGCAGATGGCGATTAGTGTACAAGAAGAACGGCAAAATACGAACCAAATAACTTTACACAGTATAGAAATGAACATGAAGAATTTAGATTAGGGGTCTTTCTTTCTTTGTCTGGATGTAAGTATTGGTCGTTCGATCCAATTTCTATACGACTGCTTAATGCGGGTGGTCTCAGATGAGGCCTCGGTCTCGTCATGCAAGAGGGTGAGGATGTCTTCTGGGGTCAACCTTCGCTCAGCCCACTTCTCAAACTGAGCTGACTGGAACGTCTCAACAAGATGCGCTGCTTTGTCGTCCAGATTTTCATGCTTTCTCAGATCCAACGCTTTTGCAATGGCGTTCTCGTCGAACAGCTCTTCAAACACGGCAAATATTTCCTTATTCGCATTCTCCTTGTAAACTGTTTCCATTGAAGAGACCCAAGTGAAAAACTCGTCGATATCAAAAAGTTCGTACAGAGTTTTTCCATTGAGACCATAAAGACTAAATAAATCTTGCGGCTTCGCCCACGCCAAAAACCACAAACATTGCAAAACTGTTCTGAACACCGTTCAAAAATCTATTTCCAGCATGAGGCTGATCCTTTCTTCAACATTGTTAAAATTTGTCACGACCGCGTTCGACCTCATCGAGACGCTGTCATCATCAGGCGCATACGACACAGTCGAAACGTCTGTGCTGCGTAAAGCTCGGTGAGACATCGAGTCAGCGATAGCCATGCTCGGATCTGAACAACATCCGCACAATGGGAGAACAGGCAGCATCTGTACGTAGGAAAATTTCATTGTGGCGGATCTGGCCGGCGTCTTTTTTGCTTGAGCTTGGCGGTTGGGTAGCAAATGAAAGATGATGACAATTGTCGCACGAGTGTCAAATGTAAGCCCAGTTTCAACAAGCAAACGGATTAGTTCAACCATTATGTCCGATCTCTTTATCAATCTAGCAACGGATCAGACGTACGTACACCCTCTGGCTTGACTTGATGGACGTTACAGACATTTTGCTCTAACATCCATGTACACTTGGCTTGAGTCAGCTGAGTGTTCAACAATCCTCTTCTCCATTCCTGTTCATTGTGTTTAAATTAAAACACTCTGGACTCAACGACGCCAGATGGGAAATGAGCCATGATAGGTGTGTGACATCAGTTTGCACGGGGACCTCCACGATCCCCGGAGCCGAACGACCGGCCCTCTGCCAGTAGCACGCGTCATTCTGGGCAGTAGCGGCTCAAGGTCTCCTTCCACTTGAGCGTAGTAGAACCGAGGAAATGGATCCGCGCAGCTAGGGCAGAAGCCAGATCACCGTATTCATATGGTGCAGAAGGTTCCGTACCCGGATGCGCTACCGCAGAAGCCGCCTGATAGGCGGGGATAGCCCGTACCGCATCGAGGTGCCACTGAAGGCGAGCAAACGCACTGCTGTTATCACTGTTCTCCTGACCGGTAAGCGCTTAGATTTCCGTTGCGTAGATCTCGGCAAAGAGAAGATGCTGAACCAACTGTAGCCTATTTGAAACATCGCAGTATTGTAAAGCGGGATCATTCCCGTAGCCGCCTCCCACTATTGATTGTCTGATGATAGCGCGCTTCTTCGCCGAAGGTCTGGAGCATGGAGTAGACACGAATCTGCGACGGTACTAAGGGCAGCCAGAAGCACCAGGCCGGGGCGGTCCGATGTATGGGATGGATTGACTACGACATCGAATGCGGGATAGAATATTGGATAATCGGGTAATGGGGGTTGAATCGGGAGACTTTCGGGTAGTCAATGTGTCCGCGCTGAAAGACCAAATGGACCGCATGCAAGAGTAGTCCCTACCACAAGCGGGTTTAGCTACACCTTCGGGACAACATACCAGCTTACGGTTTCAGAAAGGGAAGAGCTCTGTAGCTTATCCCATCAAGACTGCGGCATACGTGGGTTATAGCGGAGTTACAAGACGAGCTCGCAGCAGCGGGAGTCGGTAAGTCGGTGAGGGCAGCAACATGGGACTGATCGTCCCGGTGTGTAGCATGTAGTTAGACGGTGAAGAAGCATGAGACGCGCAGGAGGTACACCATTGCTCACAGGATCCATATGCAGAACCGAGGGCACTTGATGACGAGAAAGGAGCTGCGTAGAGGTGACGGTGGAAAACGATTACAAGACAACATTGTCCATACGATCCAGCGCCAAGTATCGTTCGTTCGGATGACTCGTGTTTTGCGAAGTTACAGTCAAAAATTGTTTTTCTCAACAAGTTGTCAGTTCGATGAGGCGTTGTTACAATGTTGGAAGATTGTCCGTCACAGCTTGCACGTCTCGCCGATACTATCGCTTTATTCTTCAGACACAAAGCTGCAATATTGGATCTAGTACTTTTGACGAGTGGACCGTCGGGGGTTGCGACGCACGGGAGCGCTTGCTGGTTCCTTCCGCCGTCCTCTTGAGCGAGAAATTGGCGTGCTAAACTCCTCGTCAATGCGCTCCAGCTCCATCATGCCTTCGAGTTCTTCTGTCGCTGGTGACATCGGATAATCTGAATTTGAGTGCGCTACTTCAAGTCGGGGATTCGTTAACGGCTCGCGTACGAACTGGTACCGCTTTGGGGTCACCACGACAGCAGCAGAGTCTAAATCAGGGGATGGCGTCGAGGCCTGCTGCACCGTCCGATTCTCAGGTACATCAGTGGCCACCGTTGCAGGGCTCTGTACTTCGACTGACGGCGCTATCGTCAGTTGCGCATTCGACATTGTGTGGCTTCAGCGAAAAATCTACAGAAGCACCTCGTTTGGCTGGGTAACGGCTTCAACGGACTATGGAGCAGCTTTGGTGGAACCAATTTGTGACGATTCAGCGCAGCTATGGCCTGGACGACATTGTGCAAATGTGTCTCCTTCATAAGGTGCGTACAGTACGCCAGCGAAATGCAATGAGTTCGGTAAGCTAGGCCCGTATATGTCCCAGCTTACCGAACTCGTCCGCCATTTGGGCCGTGGGAGTGATTTGGTGCGGCACTCCTAAAATTGGTGTCCATTCTAAAGCGAATTTGTCTGCCACTGACATCTTCCGCTACGACACGGCAACGCTAATGTGACGGATGGCTGTAATGGACTGATCTCTCCCACCTGAATAGGCGCAGACGGCCTAATTATGAAGTAGTGTCATATATTATAGATTACTATCTCTCAGAAATAATACAAGAACTCTAAGTCCATCGTTAATAATGTTTATAGCATGTGCACCACATCATATTACAGCAGCCACATCGTCTCAGTGACGTGTCTTGACAGAATAACAAGCACAAGAGCATTAAAAATGAACAGGTACGTGTGTCTTCTCGTGAGCTTTAAGCTCAGCGAGGCAGTTCAGTTACTGCACTATATATGTAATACAATGAACGATACTGATAACTTTATGTTTTCTCTTGCGTATTTGTAGCAATGAAATGGATGCAGCGCTAATGACTTTTGTGAACTGCCTGGGAGCCGTGGTCATGATTTCAGTGGTGGGTTTTCATTACCTCACGGCTCAACCGAAAGATACTGAGCTATCATAGTACGGGATGGAGACTACGATAAGCAAAGGTAAAATCGAATGGATAGTGTACTGACGCTGTCGATAGTGGCGTTGTTGAATATGATATGTACAATCCATGAATTAACTAACCATGGAATGGTGGATTTTTTTGTTTTATGAATGTACTAGTCGCGTCACTTTTGCGATAAAGACACAAGGCACGTGTTAATCAACATCCGTCATCTCTTTCTTGTGGTAGTTGTATACAAACTACCAGACTGGAGATGAAGGAAGAGTTTACAATACTGTGCTTATGCTACTACTAAGCAAGGGTTATCATGAATAAAATCACATTCCGTCGAGTTTTTTTTTCCACTTGTTGTCCATATGAGAATTGTATTTATTTTATGAAGAGCATTCGACTATACATCCACATTCATTTGCTCTTAGTTATTACTGAGTATCAGAGTGACGGTGGTGGAATTGATTTTTGTATACTTAACCGTTACTCCACACCAACAATTGAAAAGTCCTTCAAAAGAAATTAAGTACTTTTGTCAAAACGCTACCTCTCTATGATCACGGGTCGTATTAAGGTACTATGCGAGCGCATTATGAGTCGTGGGTACGAACCACGTGTAGCACGTCTTATGGAGAACGTCAAGGACACAGTGCGTGCTCAGCCTGGTTTTATTTCAATTGATACGTATGCGCAGATCGATGATAACACGAAATATATCGTCTTTTCCGAGGTAATTTCGAATCGACGTTGTTCGTATTGTCTCTTGACGACCCAATTGGGTGCAATATGTTTGCTAGTATCACTAATGTATTACGTGTATCTTGCTCTGTTGCTAGTGGGAATCCAAGAAACATTTTGATATGTGGGTATCCAGCAGGGAGTTTCAGGAATGTACACAACAGATTAATGATTTACTCGATGTGCCTGGACTACACATGCGTATTTTTAAAAAACCCAAGGAAGACGTGTTTCTTCTCTAAGCAGTTGACGATACAGCACAAGGCGTGCATTCGATATCGTAGCTGACGAAAAAGAGGATTCATTGTAGTCAAAACTTGTGTTGGGTGTTTGTTTCTCATATCTGTTTCGTCCTGATCTCTTCTTGCATCTTTCCAGCAGCCGCATCTTCTATCGATCGTCTAGGGGCTCGCTGTTTTGGCTAAAAGCAAATTACCAGCCTTGTGAGTCAAAAATGAAGATTGAATCGACGACGCGCTCTTCGTCCTTTTGTAGTTGGCTGATCGCGACTAGGAAGATTCCTCTGTCTTGCAGCCCTTAATAAAACTCTTTATTCGTTCCACGGTGTCCCGTACCGACTTGGCAAACGAATGCGGCTTGCTGTCTGGATCCACACCCTTCTCCGCGCGCTCATTTTCCTCTTTTTGAAATTCCTTCATCAATACTTCCTGTCGCGGTGACAAGTTTCTAAACAGTACAAGATTGTTAGCATCATACTTAACGACCAGACCGTCATCACAAGTTTAGCTTCAGCACGTACTTTGGAACGCAGACCTGAAGGTTCACTAGTTGCGAGCCACGCCGGTTGGAGTTAAGCTCCTTAATGCCCTTTCCACGCATTTGCAGCACCGTATCTGGCTGCGTTCCACGCGGAATCTTTATCTCCACTTCGCCTGTCAGGGAAGGCACCACAATGGTGCCTCCCAACACGGCCTGCGTAATTGAGATAGGCACGTCCACCAGCACATCTGTTTTGCGCCGCTTGAAGAACGGATCTGGTAAAACGTGAATGCTTACATACAAATGTCCCGCCGGTCCACCGCGTTGACCAGCTTCGCCCTGGTGCGCTAGCCGAAGGTTCATACCCTGATCCACACCCTCAGGAATCTTCACCTCGACAGTACGTGGCTTCTTGACTGTACCCTTACCATGGCACTTCCCACACGGCGAATCAATGACCGAACCTTTACCACGACAACGGCGACACGTAGTCTCGACCGCAAAGAATCCCTGCTGCATAATTTGCACACCAGATCCATTGCACATTGAGCACGTCTTTGTTGTAGTTCCAGGCTTAGCACCAGATCCATTGCACACGTCGCATTCTACATTAGCAGTAATACTCAAATCACGCATTGTGCCCTTTACTGCCTCCATAAAACTTAAAGTAATGTCCACTTGAATATCAGCACCTCGTTGCGGTTGATTAGTACTGCGACGTGCACGTCCTCCGAATCCCTGACCACCAAAAAAATCTCCAAAAATATCTTCAAATCCCTGTCCTTCAAAGCCTTCAGCGCCACTAAATCCCGTCTGTTCGTCCACACCAGCATGCCCATAGGCATCGTATTTCTGACGCTTGTCATCATCTCCCAAAATTTCCCAAGCCTCGGTAGCCTCGGCAAATTTTTTAGCTGCATTTGGATCCGCCTTGTTCGTATCTGGATGGTATTTCTTTGCCATTTGGTAATATTTCTTCTTAATATCATTTTTACTCGCATCGCGAGAGACTCCAAGGACATCATAGAAATCGCGCTTTGTGGATTCAAACGTAGGGCGTGTACTATGAAAGGATGCACAATGTTCGAATAAAGATAATGCACCACATGTTATCTTCAATGGACGTCGCATTGGCAGACGCATTGCCATCGAACGTAGCACCATTGATCTCATGGCCATGACTTGAAGCTTTAAGTGCTGTCAATAGCGATTCTGAAATTTTTCAGGAATGATTGAGATCGAATTGTGTGGACGCGGTTCTAGAATTCATAGTAATGTTTTGACCAATCAAAACATTGACTGGTTATGAAAAATAAAGAAGACGAGAGTATCTGCGACGTGTGAGAAATAAAACACTAGATACACTTGATCAAGACAGAGGATGGGAAAATAGAGTTCACTATAAAGGTGCAAGGCTTGCTGCTTTGTTCTATTGAGGTATTCATACATCCACCGATCCCATCACTCGTCCTCAGCCTCTACGTCGTCATTCGCACTTTCATCTTCATCCTCTTCCTCTTGACTGCTGCTCGTATTGCCCTTAACATCTTCACTTATCGCCTCTTCACCCTCATTGTAAACTACAACAGCACGGTTTTCATCATCTTCTTGATCATTGTTCGCGCTTGTGTTGACATGAATCTGGCCCAGCACAAGTGCCAATCGGCCAGAAAGCTTTTGCATCTGCTCGTGCACCTGCAACCTTGTTTCCAACAGCTGGTAAAGAGCCGATAGACCAGATACAAGATCAGGCTGAGACACCAAGTATGCCGTGTGGTGCAGCAGGACGGCACGTAGCCAGGGACAAAGGCGCGAAAAGCGAGTTGGAGACCTTTCAAGTTTGCGGACAATCACTTCCAGCAGAGACAACACGCGGGATGCCGACACACGAGCAACTGTACGCCCGACAATTTTGGCGTCGCGCAGGCGCAGGCAATACTCAAGAAGAGCATTGTCGCGCGCTTGTAGAGCCTGTTCTAGCACACTAGCAAGTGAAGAGGCATCTGGTTTGTTTTCTCTTCCCTTGTCCTCTGGGATCTCCGCCTCACGCTCCGCACGGCTAAGAGCAGTAGTCACGTCACCCTCGACACGCTCACGCAGGGCTTCCACTCGCTCAGCCAGCGTCAATTCGTTTTCTTCATCATCAGCCTCGCCGTTAAGCTCCTCAAAGCCAGCAGTCTCGTCCACAACAGTCATGGAGTTGACGAGAGCACGACGCTCGCTCAGCGTTGGCACGTGGGTCTTCTTGTCGTTAACAGCATCCTCGACCTTTGCTCGTTTGCTGCAATTGTTGGTAGCTGCTTCAGCACGTTCAGCCGAAAGCAGCAAAGCGTCGCTGATTTCTGCGAACTCTAGCTCTTTCTTCCACTGACTTGGAGCATTTTCCTCTACAAGAGATACCTTTTCAAACACAGGCTTGACGAGCGATCCGCGCGCAACCAGAACCTCTGTTATCTGGTCCTTGTTCTCCTGTATGCTCAGTTCTGCCAGCAGAATACCGGCACTCTCAGCCGTCGACAGCGTTGGTGGGAGCGGTTTCGAGGCTAATGCCAGCTCAGATACGTCGTCCACCTGCTGATACTTGTGGGCCCACAGAAACATCGCCCCCGCGGGCGCCGTTGCTCCCACTAGCAAGTTTACGACAGACTTGACTGTCTCGTTTTTCTCCTTCTTGTGCTTCTTGCCTTTCTTGCTCTTTTTAGTCGTCACAATCTCACCAACAGAGGCGCGAGCGAACAGGCCATTCACGCTACTCGAAAGACTGAACGTTAGCGCTGGTGCATCATGCTCCGTCAGCGCCAAGTCGTACATGTTGACAAAACGCGCACCAGCCGTCGCCGCATACAGGAATCTAGACGCCTCTAGTCCGTCCTCCACCTCAGCAAATCTCAGCTGTGTCACGGCGGAAGATAGCCCTGAAATAAGTTTCCTGCTTTTTTTTACCGGATGCCAAGTCAAACGTTCGCAATGCAGTGCCTCCGGTCGCGAGTATCTCACCATCTGCTGAGACTGCAAGAGCCGATGCACCGCCTGAACCACAGCGAAACTTGCGCTCCACTTGACCACTACTAATACTCCACTCAAGCACATACTTGTCACTAGAGCTAGAATACAACATACTGCCTTGTGGATTAAATGCCAGTGCCTGCACAGCGTCAGCACCATGGCTAGCATCTGTTTGTAACGTGTGTTTTATCTCACCAATCGCCAGATCCCACACAATGATAGAACCATTGCTAGTACCTAAAGCTAGCAATCCCAAATCATTGGCATTGCTACGCTTCTTGCTCTTGTTTTTACTACCACTTTGTATCCATGTCAAACACGTAAAGCGGTAACTGAGATGATCACGTTCTTTAAGCTCCTGCTGCAGCGAACTGCTTGCTATATTCCAGATCTTGAGACGACCGTCATCAGATACGGCCGCAAAATGCGTCTGCGTGTCAGTAAAGAGCTGCATAGCAGGCAATGGACAGGCAAGTCGGATAGCTCTAGTGCACGAACGAGCAATTGAAAGGAATTGGCTGGTTGGAACTCAAAGCCAATTCTACTGGAGCAGAGCAGTCAATATGGGAGGTTTTAGTAAAAGACCGGATGAAAGACTTCTCAGCAAATTCCAAGGCAAAAGTTACATTTTTGTTTAAAGAATTTTGCAAGACGTTTTTAGCAATATCAACTTTGCTGATAATTTAGTGCTGGTAGTAAATTTGTTACTTAACATACCACATACTTCTTGATTGTTTCGTTGGTTTGTCGAGGTGCTATGAAGTAAGAAAGAAAGCCATAGAAGCTCTTTTTACCTTAGCTTGTAACAAAACAGTTGCTGTTATGTTGCTGTTCATTAGTTGCTACATGCAATGTGTAACACCGTTGCGGAACACTTTTGGTCCTTAATGCTGTCCATAGCTACGAGTAGCTCATTGTGAGTTTACAATGGGTGACGGTTAATCTACGGAACATGTGAATGACTAGTTGTCTTTGCAGAAACGAAGCAGCATATTACTTGTCAAATAAGCACATTCTATCTTGTTGAATGGTTCAATCCGATATTAGATGAAATGTACTACAACTTATACGACGCTATTAAAGATGTTTGAGTGCTAAGCAAAGACAATACATCATGTTATCACGACAACCATGTCTCAGTCAGTGGTTGTGCTCTGTATTTCCGATCGCTAGGTTCTTGATATTCAATATGACTATATTAACATAATTACATTAAAGTTAGGACATTACGGCGAGGATCAAATCAAGTTTGAGAGACAGCTCATTCATGCTTACGAATTAAAAAGCTTCTGTGATTTAAACAGAATTAACGGGCTCCCATTTGACCCAGTATCCTTCTTTTGGGTGTATCACACTACTTTTCATCAATCTGATAAATGGCAAAGCGAAATCGCTGGGACTCGGACTCGGACGAGGCTGATACATGTGTCTCCTCCCGCCGCAAACGCTCCGTTTCCAATCCAAGCAAATCCCTCACTACCTCCACTAATACTTTGTCGTTAGACAGAAACAATAACGGTGCGCTACATCCGTCTATGAGCGAAGAAATCACCGATACAAATAATTGTCCACGACATAATTTCTACCTTTTAGGCTGTCGTAGTGTCGATTGCTACGCGCGGATTGGAAAAATTGATGAAGGAACGTATGGTGTTGTATCAAAAGCTCAAGATAAAGAAACGGGTAATGTAGTTGCACTAAAACAGGTTAAAATGAGTGCTGATGCTAGCCAGGAAGGCTTTCCTATTACGGCAATGCGTGAGACGAACGTGCTGCTGGCTCTAGACCATCCAAATATTGTTCAAGTACGAGAAATGGTCGTGGGATCTACGCCTGATAAGATTTATATGGTGATGGACTATGCTGAAAATGATTTAAAGCACGTGATGCAGACCAAGATGAAGGCTCCATGGCTCCAATCGGAAGTCAAATACCTCTTGCATTCACTGTTGAGTGCTATGGCTTATATGCACGATCGATGGTACATTCATCGGGATCTTAAAACTAGCAACTTGTTGTATGATGCACATGGAGTATTAAAGGTCTGTGATTTTGGACTAGCACGCAAATACGGCTCACCACTGAGAACGTACACACAGCTAGTCGTGACGCTGTGGTATCGTTCTCCCGAGCTCCTACTTGGTGCAAAAAAGTATTCGACAGCGGTCGATATGTGGTCAGTTGGATGTATTTTTGCCGAAATGCTGCTCATGAAGCCACTGTTTGCAGGTCGTGGGGAACTCGACCAAACAAACCAGATTTTCAAGTTGCTAGGAGCACCTAACGAGCAGAATTGGCCTGGGGTCGATGAAGATGTGCCGGATGCAAACGTTAGCGTTCGTGGAAAGTGGCCAAAGTACTCTCGACTACGTGACAAGTTTCCACTCGCTGCGACTTTTTCGGGCAGCGGATGTTCACTGTCGAAAGCAGGATTCGATCTGTTAAGTCGAATGCTAGCTCTCAGTCCACGCAAACGCATTTCAGCCAAGGATGCCCTGGCACACGAATACTTTCTAGAGTCCCCTCCGCCCAAGCAAAAGGAGCTAATGCCGACATTTCCGGCATAGATAGACAAGGCAAATAGATCACTCCCAGTACGCTGTTTGCCACTGCCTTACTTGACCACTTGCACACATTCGACCGGTGTTATTACTTTAGAAGCTGACTTTGATGGTTGCATCGATTATAGTGCACTACCTCGCAAAAGCTCATGTAGGTCAAGTTGTCAAATTAACGTGGTAGGGTAATCTACCTGCATCCTCCTCTTCCATGATATATGCTGCCCATGTGAGCCATTGCTCACTGCAGAAAGTAACTTCATTTGTGTTCTACGCTATCCCAACGAGTGGCTAGTAGTCATCGAGTCCTTTTTGCAGTATCATCTTACGTTCGTTTGCTTGTATGTTTCTCGAGCTCACCCTGGTCTGGATTAATCATGTCAGCCTTATCGTTATAGGTTCGCCGCTGCGTGATTGATGCCAACTGACGCAAACCATTTGGCATCTCTTCCGAAAGGAAGCAGCTCGTTGGTCCAGCTCTCAACCTCTAGATCAAGATATCTCCATCTTGCCCAGTATCTCGAGTTACGAACTGGGATTCGTTCTACTTAAGCGTAATGCTTTGCCCCAGATGGCGTCTCTTTCGTCGATCGAGTGCACTGCGAGTTGTCTTGGCACTACTCAGGAATTTGTAAGCACTTATGAATGAGAGAGATACAGACTTGCATACACTAAAAGCGACCTGAGCCTAGTGTTGCGCGCAGTTTTCAGACGTGTGAGATAAAGATAAGCGAGTAGACTGCTTCTTCAGCGCCACACAACCATAACGTATGCCAACGATGCAGCATCTTGCAGCTCAATATGGACGATGAAGAATCAATCACTGAACCAGCATGGCGCTCACCAGGTCTTGCTAATGAGCGTAAAAGATTGTATGCATGCTTTGCGTGGCGCACTTCAAGCTGCAATCTACATGTACATGTATTGTGATCGACGTCTCCGTTGCGACAGTTGGCAAAAGATAGTAGTTATTTTGTATCGGGACCTGTGTCGTTGACGCAACAACGTCTTCAGTTTTCGTACACTAAACTGCCAAGAATTTACAGCTTACTCGTGGCGTCGATAGCGTGGCTCTTGGCAAACTCAAGACCCTTGCTCACGCTGTCCTGCGGCGAAATGTTGTGCTCGATCTGGCCGACTTTACCGCCCGGGAGCACAATGACGTGCGAGCGCTCCACGCGCGCACCGTCGTCGATAGAGCTGCCAAAGTAGCCGATCAGCAGGTGGTTTGGATCCGAAAGTAATGTATACTTGTACTTTTGCGACTCTTTCCACACCAGAAGCTCGGATGGCTTGTCGGCGCCTAAGCCGTATACGTCAAAGCCAGCAGCATTGATCGCCGCCAAATTGTCATTGTAGCCACAAGCTTGGGTAGTGCACCCTGGCGTGTCCGCCTTTGGATACATGAAGAAGATGGCGCCGCGTGTCTTGAACAAGTCTTGGATCTTAATCGTCGTGGAAGCGTCAGTCTGCAGCTCCACGTCAAGCGTGATGACGTTGCCCTCAGCACACTTGTCCACGTTTGTCGACTCCACTTCCTTAGTCTGCTCCTTTTCTTTCACTGACTCATCTTGCGTTGCTGGCTTCTCTTCCTCCTTCGTAGCATCCGTACCGTTCTTTTTTACAAATGCGACAGCACGGCTCACACTGTCCGCAGGAGACACTTTGGCAGCAATGTCTCCCACGACACCACCCTTGAGGATGACAACATGCGAGCGCTGCACCTTTTTGCCTGCCAGGGAGCTACCAAAGTATGAAATGAGCTTGTGATCAGGATCGCTCAGTAAATCAAAGGGTAGACTCTGCTTCGACTTCCAATTGCTCAGGACATTGGGCGAGTCACCGCTCAAGCCATAGACTGTAAATCCCGCATCCTTAATGGCTTTAATATTGTCACGAAAACCTATTCACATGAAGATAGAAAACACCATCAGTAACTCAGATTTACTATCAAAAAGAAGATCTTTTTAACAGACTGATCACGTACCGCAAGCCTGCTTCGTACAGCCAGGTGTATTGGCACGTGGGTACATGAAGAAGACAACACCTTGATCTTGAAATGTGTTACGTAGTATCACTTCTTTCCCTTCTTGATTTACTAGCGTCACGTCCATTGTTACCAATTTACCAATTGCTAGATCGCTAGCAACTTTGGATGTCGTTGGTTTCTTCGTCGGACGTTTAACCGCATCAGTAGAAGAAGCTCCACGCTTTTGTGGAAGCTCTGTAGTAGGCAATAAGGAGCCTGAGGTGCGGCTGCGTGTGGACACCATAGGGCTGGAGTAGGCTCTTGCTTGCTTGACTTGGTTCTATGTAGCTCGATTGAAACTTGTCGAATAGGATCGAAATTCCAGTGACAAGAGGTTGTAGGAAGGTCGTCATGTAGGTTTTATTCGTAAGTACGTCTTTTGTTGTTTGCTGTCATACCGGTAGTGTACGGTATGATGGAGGACTAGCACTTTGAGTCGTAAAAAGTGAGTCGTGCTATTCCATTTCAGAACGGTATACTGATGAAAAAGAGAATAAAAGACCCCAAAAATACCGTCAGATAAGAGTACTCTCTCTACTCGACTATCCACTGCATTCATGAGCCTTTCATATATTAATCATCTCAAGAGGCTCTAAGGAGGACGAGGATATTGGACATGAAGGTTGATCAGTAATCACTGGCTTCACCACTTCAATTGACCTCATAGTATCACTTGGTGCCAAAGCCGCTAATTGTGAAACTGAGGATGGACAGTCTTTGGAATATACACTCGCCACGAATGGACCACAGTGCCTCGAGCGATCTCCACGTACCGAGAAGTATCGTTGCAACCAACTGGTCTGCAAAATTTGCGCAGTATTGCCGTCGATTGGTGTCCACACACCCCTCTGGAAATTCCAGTGATCGTCAAGTTGATATGACGGTAATACATCTGTACCGCTGGCAGCGTTGTTTTGAGCATCGTACCCATGAAATATTGCTGTCTGCCCGTAATCCTCGCATGGATCTTCGACATCTTCAAGTCGGAACGCGTGGAAAGTGACTCGGCGAAACCTCACATTGTTGGCTGCAGCGAGAGAGGGTAGTAAAGAAGCGACGGCAACGTCAATTGTCGCAGCTTCTGCTTCGTTACAGCTCACAGAGCGAACCTCGGCATTGCCACCTAGCGCTCGGAAACGTCGTCGTAGATCGCCTATATACGGTGCACCGAGCAGCAGCGTCTGCTCTAATTGTTTCGAGCACTCATGCCCGCTTGTAGAGCCTTCACTCACAGCACTTGTTTCCGCTGCTAAACGCGCCGACTCACATTCAAATGATGACAGCCGTCGAGAGGAGACCAGATCTACCATACGCAGCTCCCCACCAACCTTAAGCAGACCGAACGCCACTTTTAGCATGGCATTCTTGCTCGCAGGAAACGCTAACGATTGGATCGAGCAATTGCATATAACCAAATCCTGCTGGCCTTGCAGATCCTTAAGCTCGTCACCTGATACGCACGATGACGATGAAGATTGAATCATATCACCATCTGTACGTGCAACAAACTTCATATTCACAGCAGGCAATCCCAATGTCACTAGGCAATAACTTTCTGCAGCTTGTTGCGCCAAATTGACGTTTGCAGCGCTAGCTTCCACACAAGTAACAAACCCATTGACACCGACCAATGCTGCTGTGAGGAAGGCCTCAAAGACACTACCACATCCCACAACTGCAACTCGTAAGCCAGCGAAACCATTAAATAATTTACCACAAATGGCTGATCCTTGGCACGAGCAGGCAAGTTCACGAATGCTTTCCGGGACCTGGTGCAGCAGCTTCGCATTGACCGTCAAAGGACTAGCTGCCAAAGACTTAGTCATCGCTTCTTGATACCATTGCGCAGAGCACAGCGCCATTCCCTTGGCAAGTGTCAGCTGAGGAGAATTGCCTGCAAGCTCCATCTTTTCTGTCAATCGAGTCGATCGTGGTAACAAATCGGCATCATTACTTGTAATCTCGGTCGTAGCATCTGTTGCGGCCATCTTGCTTGCATCATGCGTGTTCGATAAACTAGAAACGATAAGACTGGAGCTACAAGAATCTGTCAACTCAGCATTTTCCTCCACAACAAATCCAGGTTGATAATGCAGCGGTAACAAACAATTGGACATCCCGGCAGGTTTCCGCAGGCGAATACAATGTCGATGCTTGAATCGCGCTAGCCATCCAACCGAAAGTACAAGCATATCATCAGAAACACCGTGCACTTTCTTCAATCGTTGCGCTTCTTCAAGAATCAATGCCTCTGTAAGGGGTCGTCCTTGATATCCACCTGCAGTACCCTCCGCATCACACATTCCCTTGTTTCTGGCTGTTAGCAGTGCAATAGCACCGCTGTTTTTGTTTCTTGACTGTACATCTTGTGTAGCTTGCAGAACGCTCTCATCTCTCCTTTCTGCTTCCAAATGAGTGATAATAAACTGAACGAGATCAGCCTCGAAAGCAGGAAAGAGCGGACGACGATGTCGCTTCATATCAGGATTCCTTGGTGTATTACCACCTTCATAGCTTCCTCGTAAGATCTTCCAATCCATGGATATAATTTTCGATAATGTCGAGCGTCCACATGACCAGCCAAATTGAGTCGCCACTTCCTGTCGAAGAACCTCTTGAGATGGCACTAACTCGCCATTATCTTTGCAATTATTTACTTTTTCTTCACAAAAGCTCTTGACAATGGCTTTTTCACGAAGCGTTAAGGCAGTACGTACTAACTTTTTCCGCTTTCTACTGGGTTGGGAACAAGTGAAGAGTGGATCGACGGCATTATTGTCAATAGTGTTTGCCATATTCTTTTTTTTCATCTTGTTGGTTTGTTCTTGTAGAGAGAGAATACGAACCAGTTAGTGCACTAAAAGTAGGTCAAAACAATGTGACATGAGATTGGTCCAAATAACAGTAAGCTATCGCTCCATTGTGTTTTATTTTGAACCCATTTGTGTCATTTTTGGTAAACTAAATGACAACGCTCTCGTTATTGTCGTCATCATCATCATCATCATCCATAGTGCTTGCAAGCGATCCCGCACGTGTTCAAGCAGTAGAAGAAGAAGATGCTGATTATGAAGAGCTTATTCCACCTGAGAACTTTTCCATGATTGAAAAAGGGCTTTACAGAAGTACGTCCGTGCCCTGAAATATTCTAGACATGTATCTATTCGATAGTGAAATTTATAATACATGGACTGTTTCAAAGGTGGATTTCCAAAGAAAAAAAACTTTGCTTTCCTGAAAAAGTCGCTGCAGCTCAAGTCCATACTTACTCTAGTACTAGAGGACTATCCACTTGCTAATACAGAGTATAATCGAATGCACGGTATCAAGCTCCTGCAGTTTGGCGTCCCGGGCAATAAGGTTAGTCCAAGTGTTTTAAAATCTCAACATTGGGCGATACATTTATACTAGATGCATCACAGGAGCCTTTTGTAGACATACCTGAAGATGGTATTGTAGCAGCATTAAAAGCTGTGCTAGACAGGCGCAACCACCCTATGCTCATTCATTGCAACAAGGGAAAAGTAAGCTCTTGGGTTCTTTTTGTCCTTTGTATCATGTTTCGTAGCTCATGGTGAATGTCATTTTTTGTTATGTGTTGAGTGTAGCATCGCACTGGTTGCCTCGTCGGCTCACTGCGTAAGGTGCAGCGCTGGGCTTTTAGCTCAATTTTTGATGAATACATCCGTTTCTCGGCTCCAAAACCTCGAATGATGGATCAACAGGTATTGCATGCTGCTGCTTGATCATGTGCGTGCGTATCTTGCTTTGAAAAGGTATTAACGTGCTTGCTGATCTCTGTTTCTAGTTTATCGAATTATTTAAAACCGAACGCGTTACGGAAGAAGAAAGCCTGGCAAAGCACCTGCCAAACTGGCCTGGCCTATAGCTCGCTGCTTGATCCTGGTGATTGATTAGCTAGCTATTCTACGTATCCCTGATGTCGACTCACATCCTTGAGATAGGCAAAAGCACGATAGGGAGGCACTGCATTCATTGTATACTCGGTGTAATCGATTACCTGTTGTAGTTGCTCAACATCCTTTACATGCATATACTTGATGAGCTCTTGCAATTGGTACTTTGAAGTCCGGTGTGAAGAATCTAGTATTGAACTTCAAAGTATCAACTGCAAGGGCTCACAAAGTTCTAGATGCCGGTCTACAATAGCAATGGCTTGACCCGATTCACCTCGCTTACATAAACCATATACACGGGTGGACAATAAACACTACTGGTACTAAGTGCCGCAAGCCAAATGGACACAAGCGATGACACATGTAGTACGCAATAATTATATGACTACTTGAAATGAATAAGAAGTAGTAGAACTCACTTCTGTGATGGCAACAAGTTGCTGCTGCTCACATGTTGAGACAACGGCATTATGTTCACATCCAACGGATAATTGCATCAAACTTGAGTTCTTTAATTAGCACACTGGAATTTTCAACTGAGTTTGCATCGGTGGTAAGAAACGATGCCCATCTTCTTACTTCGCAGCCAAGCGGGTGTCACTTTTGTATTCACCAACACTGTTTGTAAGAAATGGTGAGAATGCGGTTGCGTAGCAGTAAGTCTGTTGATGGCAATACTAGCCTTGAGAAGAAGGCCGTGGTCATAAAGATTGAAACAGAGTGCATGCCGTTTGCACTTGGACAATCGTCACGTAGTCGCAGCAAGACTGAAAAGGAGAGTGGTCGCGTTAAGCGCGAGATGGTGGAACTGAATGAGGATAAGGATGCACCACTTTTGAACAAGAAAGCTAAACGAGGTTATACCAAGAAGGAGCGGATTTGTTGTAAAGAACCTGATGGCTGGAAGGAGATTTTGCTGGGCATACAGGAAATGCGGGTCAAGAAAGATGCCGAGGTGGACAAGTACGGTGAGGTGCGACTTTGGCTAAGGTAGATAGATATCTAGTTGAGAACGTCTGTATTTTCTAACATGTATATTGGCTTGCAGGCGTTTTTTAACGAAAGCTTTTTGCCTCATGAACGTCGTTTTCATGTGTTGATATCAGCGATGATGAGCAGTCAGACCAAAGACCCTGTGAATGCGGCAGCAATGGGTCGTCTTATCAAGCACGGTGTGTAGCACGCTGTCTTGGGCTTGGATGTTGTTTGTATTGAGTGCAAAAGCTGATTGTCTCTATTGCAGGTTTGACTGTAGAATCGATGCTTGCGATCGACCAGCAGGAGCTTGCACGATTGATCCGACCCGTTGGTTTTTTCAACTACAAGGCCAAATACATCAAGCAAACTGCTGTTATCTTGAAGAAGCAGGCTGAAGTCGAGGGCAACGTTGTTGTTGACATTCCAGACACGTACGAGGGCCTTATCGCTTTGCCTGGTGTCGGACCTAAGATGGCTACATTAGTGATGGACAGCGCGTGGCACAAGTACGTTTTTCTCTGGCCTTTGCGATTCTTTACCATATAATGATGATGATGGTACTGTGTAGTAATGTGGGAATATGCGTCGATACGCACGTGCATCGAATTTCGAATCGGCTGAAATGGGTGAAGACATGGAACAAGAATAACCCCAGGTCGCAGGATCCGGAGAAAACCCGAGCGGTACGAACAATACTGACTCATAAAGTAGTCACTTAGCTAACAGCATTTGGTTTGAAAACAGGAGCTGGAGGACTGGCTACCAAGAGAACACTGGGGTCCCATCAATATTTTACTAGTTGGTTTCGGACAAACAATTTGTCGTCCTCGCAATCCCAAATGCAACGAATGCAAGATTCGTGATCTTTGTCCATCCGCAAACGATTCGTCAATATAAATGACGAATGGAGGCCGAAATGCTGCAGCAGACTGACTAGTGCTTCAACCATCATCACCAACGTTGCACTTTATGCAACACAAGTTTCGATTGTTGTTTCATTGGCAACGTGGCAAGCAATGTATGAAGTTGAGATGTAGCTCAGAACGCCATTAGTACCGCTTACAGGTTATCGGGTTTTGTGTAGGAAAGTGCTTGCTCTTCTATGACGAGTACAACTTCATTACACCGAATGCCATTGAACAAGAGACATCATTAGCTTTCAGAATTGGCCTCGTTGGCGCATAATTGTTGACCGAGTAAAAGGCTCATAATGGTGGATAGAAGAATAGAGGTAACAAATTAACACTTGATTTGTCTCACAATTCTTTCGTCTACAATTTGCTACTGACTCAAAAGTAAGCAATATGAACGTTGCAGTTTCCACTGTGATCAGTACGGATTGATTTTCGTCGTGATGGTGAAGAAAGGAAGTGAGATACCAAAGGTGTGACAGGAAGCTTATGTTATTGTTTACTGTCGTGAAATGATTGGTATCTTCTCGTGTGTTCCACTTTTGTAAAGCGTCTTTTACATAAATGCCGACCGCAAACAAGGGCGTTCTGGTCAAATGGTTCGTGGCTTGGATCTTTCTGTGTGGACGACTTTACCCATGACACACTAGTCTGCTTCTCTTCATGATTGTATTCTCTGACCATACGTTTCTCTTGTATTCACAGCGATCCAGCTACAAAGCAATATCTACTTCATCTTAATGAGACGGCAGTACAGGTTCATAATGGCTTGATTTCGTAAAGTACCCGGTATACTTCTTTATACTTGCTAACACTATGATGCTCTTTGCTTGCTTGCATTTGGGTTTGTAGCAAAGGTTTGTGATTGAAGACCTAGATGATTTGCACTTATTTATTGTGCCAGACCCAAAAGTCATTGCGTTCATTGAGAAGAAGATGGACGAGTGGAACGAACAAAACACGTATCAGCCACCCACGCAGTAGGCAGCACAGCGTTCGTATGGCGAGTCACTGCTTGGACACTGTAGCTTGACAAAACATGCCTGATTAGCCAGCCAAGTAAGGTGGATTCGTATCGATAGAAGAGGCAAAAGTATTTGACTCATCTTGTCGCTAAATGGGCACGTATGGCGTCGTTTTCACGTCTAGGTTAGTAGTACTACTTGACAATGTAAACAGTTCCTTTTATCACTACGTGCTGAATAGGAGGGTCACCCATTTCGTAAATGATCTGCTCCCACTGAGTCGCACGCATTACTACCAAGTCACCTTGCTTGCCAACTTCCAGGCTGCCGTGAGTATCTGAGCGGTTAATGGAAGCCGCTGCATTAATAGTGGCACCCACAAGTGCTTCCGTCATGGTCATGCCAAACAGAACGCAGGCCATGTTCATTGTCAAAGCCATCGAAAGACAGTGCGCGTTCGGGTTGTAATCTCTACCTAGGCAATGGAAACTCCAGTAGCAATCATTTCATGGGTCGGTGGATTAGACAGGTTCAAGACATTTTTGGTCGTAGGAAGGAGCACGGCAAACACAGGTTCCGGTTTGTTTGCAGCCATAGCTTGGAGGTCTTGAGCAGTCAACATTTCGCAGTGTGGGAGTTGGCACGTGTACCCAGAGCGGCGGCAATGGCACCGGATTGCATGGGATGCATCTCGTCTCCGTGAAAGTTGATTTCTAGTCCAGCTTGCTTGCCAGCACCTAAAATGCGGTGGGTATCATCGTGCTCGAAAACACCTTTTTCACAAAATACGTCAATAAACTCGGGCGATATCGTGCCATCTTTCTTGGCCTGCAAAACCGTCGGGATCTGTCTGCTCACGATATCCTTCGTAACTTCAGCAACTATCATGCCATCAGGAACCGAGTGGCCACCAAGGTAGCTGGAAACAATTTCCACAGGGTGCGCGTTATCGCCTGTCGATGCAGCATGCAGCACACGCAGCATCTTAAGCTCCGTGTCGGTCTCAAGTCCGTAGCCACTCTTGGCCTCAATCAACGTGGCACCGCAACGCAGCATGCGATCCAATCGTAAACAAAACTAGTCCATCAGCTCAGCTCCGGAGCTCTTGTTAGTATGTCGCACAGTTTTATTAATCCCGCCGCCGCTTTTGTGTACCTCCATGTACGTGGCACTAGCCAATTTCATTGCAAACTCGTTAACGCGATTGCCACTCCAGACCGGATGTGTGTGTGCATCGACAAAGCCAGGAAGTACCACCATGTCACGACCTTCCAAGTCTTTCTCAATGCTCACGGCTGTGGCTGTGCACTAAGCCACTTGTCCACTTCAGCAGCAGGGCCGATGGCCACGATCTTGCCAGCCTGATCCACAACCAGCGACGCATTCTCAAGCATTACTAGATCTTTTTGAGATGCACCGGCTTTAAAGCGCTCACCATGTGCACAAACCTGCACAATCTGCCGTGCATTGGCAATACGCAGGCGATAAGAGCTCATGGTGTCAGTCTGTAATCAAATCGTTGAGGCTGTACCCATCTAAGAGAATGTTGAAGTGAGATTAGCAAATCAGTGAATTTCGATGCTCTTTTCACCAATCCAAAAGCTCGACCAATTGCATGTTACAGTTCATTTATATCCATTTTACTATCGCCTATCATCTTTATTTACTGTTTTAGTATCGCACGCAGATCAGTTTGCATTCCGCACTCAATGCACACACCATCATTCTGTATTCCGCACTCGGTGCACACACCATCACTCTATATTCAACATGCAACTTCCGACCTTTCAGCTGCTTACGTGCTAGCGCCTGAGCTTACATGGACTGGTGACGCATTCGAGCGCAACGTGCAAGTTTCCGTAGGTGTCGATGGCCTGATCCAATCTGTTAGACGTTGCACCGACGCCGTGGACGTTGACGCAGCGGTGTACAAGCTCCCGGGTCACGCCCTACTGCTTGGAATGGTAAACGCGCACTCGCACGCGTTTCAACGTGGTCTGCGTGGTCTTGGTGAAACGCATCCAAAGGACACGACACAGAGCAGCTTCTGGACCTGGCGTGAGGAGATGTACAAGCTCGTGGCTGGCATGAGCAACGAGCGCATTTATAATTTGACATATCAGTGCTTTTATGAGATGCGTGACGCAGGCATTACAAGTGTTGGTGAATTTCATTATTTCCATCATGGGTGACCTGATGAAGGAAAGAATCGTCACGAGTTTGCGTACGACGAGACGGTGCTACGTGCAGCTAAAGCAGTGGGTATTCGCATTGTATTGCTAAACGCGTACTACGAGCACGGTGGTTTCCAACTAGAATCCATGTTGGAGCCGCAAAGCGCTTTAAGGTAGACTCGCATAAAGTCTACTGGAACCAGATGGACGACGAGCTGATATTTCTACGCAATCTCTGGGTGTTGTAGCTCACTCGATGCGCGCTGTGGAGATACCTGATGTTGTCAAACTGCACGAGGAATCCGTGCGTCGTGGTTTGGTTTTTCACATCCATCTTGAGGAACAGCGAAGGAGGTGGATGACTGCAAAGCTGCGCACAATGGAGAGACACCAATGGGTCTTCTTTTAAAAAATCTGAAGATTGATTAAAAGTTTACGGCTGTACACTGTACGTGGACAGCGGCGGATGAACTAAAGCAGTTTGTAAACAAGAAGGGCAACGTGTGCATCTGTCCACTGACGGAGGTGCGATTGTTTGAATTTGTTAGATTGCTATTTTTTTCTGAGGTAAATCTGCACTAACATATTTCCATACGGTCTTCATTTATTTTGTAAGGCAACTTAGAAGATGGCTTTCCATTAATTGCAAGCTGTGGTAACCGTGTGTGCCTCGGTACGGACTGCAACGCCCGAATTGATATGTGCGAAGAGATGCGTTGGTTGGAATACGCACACCGCCTGCATGAAAGCAGGAGAGGTGTTTGCATTGACACTACGCCGGAGACGGATCTAGCCAAGTTACTTTTCAGCTACAGTACCAAGAATGGTGCTAGATCGCTTGATCTAAAAGTCGTAAGTCACTCCAATTGATTCGTCTGAAACGCGCTTTGCCTATCAATGTTGTCCCATTGCTGATGCTTCCATTTCAATTGATATAGGGCGAAATCAGGGAGGGATACGCTGCTGACTTTGCATTGGTCGACATTGAGGAGGAGCAGCTCAAATTCTCAACCGCGTCGTCTCTTATGGGTGCGTTTATTTTTGGAGCAAATGGCTCCAGTGTGGTGACGGCGACATCGGTGAACGGAAAGTGGCGTGAGATGATCTCGAGGAAGGTTGAGAAAGTAAAGTCGACTACGTGTAATGACTTCGCTATCTCTGATGAATATCAGACCCAGATCAACAATGCTGCTGCATTGGCAGACGCGAGTAGTGATAACATTGTGGAACTTGACTGAATAGCATTGTTTCTACTTCCGGCGAGGAGGCAACTGTGGGTCAGGTAATTGCCGGCTGGCTTACCGCTCAGGGTTGGCGCGTGCACATGCAAAGGTTCCACCACAGTCTGATTCTGTGGTGAAAGCGGACAGGTATGTTTACTTCTATCCCAAGCAAATGTGTTTGATTTAATCAAGTTGCTTGTGTATGTGTTTAGATACAACATGTATGCTACTCGTAGTGACAGCAAGACCCCACGTCTCCTATTTAACTCTCATATGGATACCGTTCCACCTTACTTTCTTCCTCGGATTGACAGCACGACACTGTACGGCCGTGGTGCTTGCGACGCGAAGAGTCTGATTGCCGGCCAGATGATTGCAGCGCAGAAACTCGTTGATGCTGGTTTTAGTGATGATGTTCAGCTTCTCTTTGTCGTATCCGAAGAAACAGACCACACCGGCATGAAGAAAGCGAACGAGTTGAATGTGAACCCGGCTTACATGATTGTAGGCGAGCCTACTGCTCTACAGATGGCAAAATTGCAAAAGGGTGCTCTCAAAATTCAACTTACACAGGAAGGTGTTGCAGCACACAGCGGTAAGATACTGATTAAAGGACCTGACATTGACCGTCACTGACACTTCTTGCGCATGAATTTTGATAATTAGGATACCCACACTTGGGCGACTCAGCAATTGACCCGATGATCGATGTCCTTTACGCCCTGAAGAAGGAAAACTGGCCTACAACCGAAGCATACGGTAGCACAGACCTTAACATTGGTTTAGTTAGTGGAGGACAAGCAGCCAACGCTTTGGCTGAGCAGTCGTCGGCAATACTTATGTTTATTGGTGACTGATCCAGATGTCGTCTACAAGCGTGTTGAGGTAAGAGCTTGGTATTGTCAGCACGCCGGTTATCATTAGTCTGCTAACTGTTGTATCGATAAATTGCAGGAGATCGTGGCTGGACGTGTAAACATGAAACTCTACACGGACAACGCTCCGGTGCATTTAACCACTGTGGAGGGCTATGAAACTTGTATCGCGTGCTTCATACCTTACTTCAATTTCGACGGCAAAGCCTATCTAGTTGGTGCTGGTAGCATTACAAACGCACATTGCTCACGCGAGTCAATTCTTCTTGAAGATCTTAGAACCATGGTTGACTACTACATTACATTGGGCAAGCGGTTGATGGAGGTCGGCCACTAAGATGATCGCTACAAATTTCAGGCCATATATACCAGAAGGAAGACAGTATCAAAGATACTTTTCAGCTTTGTTGTTTCCGCGTTTGACAGTTACACAGGAGTTAGCAGCTTCTCAGTCTTAGTCTTGAGTTCAAATCGGATCGGGTCAATATTTCCCCATTCGGCCCACCACTCAATGTTTCCAGTGGCAAAATCTACACCAATGTGCTTCTGGTAACTATCAAAGCTTCGCTCGGACCCCAATGTATGCTTGCTCTGACCCTCTTCGTTCTCGCTATTCTTGTTGAAACGCAGCAAACGTTTAACGCACTGAATTGATGCATTCCGGCACCGTTGGGTTTCCTCCGTTTCCAACTCTTGAAAAACAGGACGATACGATCGTGTCCAAAGATGATAAGCCACTGTTTCTGATGGAGCAAAAAAATTCCACCCTGATGTCCAGAGTCGCGCAGCCATGGAAGATTCTTCTCCGAAGAATAAAAACCGTAATTCATCGTCATAAGGTACTTCTGCAATCACCTTAGACGACGAAAAGGCAAAACCAGCGGCCCAAAAGAGCGATGGCAGTGGTCTACGTACGAGAAACGAATCAAAGCACAAGATATAAGCTTACATACGACAAAGCTATCCTACGACATGTAGCCGAAAGCATCGCAACCATTAGACTTATCCACCTACTCTGTTAACGCTTTCGCAAGAAGCTTGCTGGTTTGGCGCAGCATACCAAGCTTGTCAAACGAGGAAGCGCACAACAGTGTGGGACGAGAATCTGTCGAAATCTGCATCGATGTCGCAAGCGCAAAAAATGAAATACGGTCAGACACCGAGCAAACAACTGTAAAAAATGCCCTAACTTACCTCATTAGGCAACGTGTAGCCAAGTGGATACGTCGTCAGAATAGGCTTTGCCATAAAACACTTCTCTAGCTCATTGATCAGAAAGCAATCCCACCCAGGACGAAAACGCATGTGACTGTCGATCTGGAGGTAGAATTCTTCACCCTGCCATAGCTTCTGCGCTTGAGCCCGAGCCACACATGGACCCGCAGCCTCTCGATAATCCATCCAGTGCACACGGATCTTGCTCGGAGAGTATTTGCTCTGCAGATACGACTGAGCATTATCGCTGCTGTCTGTTTGTAAGCAAATACCAACAAACACTCGGTCTGAAAATGTTGCTTGTGCAAGTAAGTTGTCGACAGTGTGTCTACATTCCGAGTCACGATAGCTTGGGATCGCGACAAAAATGGAAGCATGCTTTGCATGGTCAGGTCGATTATCTGTGGCCAAAAAAGGTGGCTGTGGCACGGATCTCCCGTCAGCTTTTGAGCTTTTTACTTGACAAGGCAAACCTAGGGGTGGTTTTCCGTAATACCATATTGTCAAAGCCTTGCGCTCGCGATACGTCGGCAACACCTCGTGTTCAACATCAAGGCTCCGGAACACTACTAACGTATCAAGCTTCGGTGGGATATCCCATCGACAAGATGGCAATACTTTGGACTCTTTCAAATGGACGCGGAGATGACCACCATGCTCAGGTTCCCACTGATCATTCAAGTAGTACACACACGTGATCAAACGAACAAGTCCATTTTTAGATTTCACACCGTCTTCTTCTCTTAGCGCGTTCAAGTTTGTGTCACAATGTTTGACAAACCGAGAACCATTGCCTGACTAACAAAATAAGCAAAAAGCTCACGTCAGCACCGATGGCTTCCACCATTTCATGAGTCTTCCACGTACAAATATCGCTAATTGCATGGACACGATATTTTGCAGACCCATGTCAGGCGAAACCTTCTTGAGTCCATACACCAGAGACTCCACCTGTCTTCGTAAGTACAGAATAGCATGGCTAGTCCTTTTGTCGCCATTTGATAGATCCAAGTCACTTGGCGTTTGAATCCAAAGAATCTTGTCTCCACGGACTGTTTGGTCATTGCGTGCATTATCTCCAATGCCAACCTTTGCCTCATAGAACGTTTGATTCGGTGCAAGGTCCTTAAGTGCATCACTTACTGCCAAAGCGTGCTGTCGTCCAAGAAATTCCTTTTTCACGATAAATCCAGGCGATTCGGGATGTTTTAACGCTACAATAACCGTTGCAAAAACAAATCAGTATCTGCACATTACAACAACAAAGCATGTAGACAGACATAGAGACAAATAACAAACCAAAGAGGTCTGATGGATCCAAGTTGGAAACATTTTCTATCTCCTGCATCTTCTTCACCTCGGTAGTGCATGATAAAGAGTTGCCATCTTCCTGTATAGTAGGCTCTACATGAATTGGATGTTTTGTACACGTTGTAGGTAATTTTGTTCCTAATGAAGCTTCCACAAGTGCCTGTAGCTGCGGTGAGAGTGTAGTGAACAATGTCGTAGTGTCCATGAAGCTCGTTGTATTATGATTTTTGTAGTACGTCTTGCAAATGTTTCAACGTAACTGGAATTTGTTGTTGCTGTTACTGTGAACGTCATAATTGCATAATATTTCATCCAATCCAATGGCCACGATAGCTGTAGCCAATTAATTGAGTGGCTACCGAGGTATTCTGAATCACTTGGTAATCAAACATCTTCAAACCCACCTCATCATCATTATCATGAGTCACATCTTGCATGCCGTATCAACGGGTTCTCAAGCATCACTCATGCCAATAAAACGTGCTTTACTTTCTGTATCAGACAAGACAAGTATTATAGAATTGGCTACATACTTATCGCAACATGGTGTCGAATTACTCTCTACGGGTGGCACTGCGAAAGCATTGCGTGATGCTAAATTACCTGTAATTGACGTATCAACGTATACGGGATCACCTGAAATCATGGACGGTCGTGTAAAGACATTGCATCCTAAGATTCATGGTGGTCTATTAGGTGTGCGTGGTAATGCACAACATGAGGCCGAGATGGCTGCTAATGACATTCACAAGATTGATCTCGTAGTACTTAATCTATACGCGTTTGAAGCAGCAGTAGCCAATGGTGGAGATTTTGATACATGCATTGAAAACATTGATATTGGTGGTCCATCGATGCTACGTTCATCGGCAAAGAATCACAAGGCTGTGGTCATTTGTTCAAGTCCTACGCAGTACCCTGCACTGATTCAGGAGCTAGAGACGAATAAAGACACATTTAGTACGTCCATTGACTTCCGTCGCAGTTTTGCTGCTGCTGCCTTCTCTCTGGCGGCGTCCTACGACTCAGCTATCTCGTCGTGGCTCAATGGCCAGCTTGGCAGCGCTGCTCCAACCGTTACTCGTGTGTACAAGAATGAGTTTGCTCTCAAGTACGGCTGCAACCCGCACCAGATCCCAGCTGCTATTCTTAGCCGTGTAGGCAGCAACTTGCCGTTTACGGTGCTTAACGGTACTCCCGGTTATATCAACTTGCTAGATGCTGCCAACGCTTACCAGCTTGTCCGTGAGCTGCGTTTGTCACTAAACTTGCCTGCTGCTGCATCGTTCAAGCATGTAAGCCCTGCCGGCGCGGCTGTGGCTGTGGACCTTGAGGAAGGCCTCCACGCTGCATACGAGGTGGGCAACGTGACGCTAACCCCTCTATCGCTCGCCTATCTCCGTGCCCGTAACGCCGACCCTCTGTCGTCGTTCGGGGATTTCGTCGCTGTTAGTGATGTGGTTGACGAAGCCACTGCTAAGATTCTCAAGCGCGAGGTGAGCGATGGTATTATTGCGCCTGGCTACGAGCCCGCGGCTTTCGAGATTCTTAAGGCTAAGAAGAGTGGCAAATTTATCGTTCTTGAGGCTGACCCTAACTATGTTCTTCCGGACGTTGAGTACCGGGAGGTCGCTGGTATCACGTTTGCCCAGAAGCGCAATGATGTTATCATTTCGACAGAGAAGCATTTGGCGGATGTGCAGACGTTTGGTGCTGGTCCACTGACTGACGCCAAGAAGCGTGACCTTGCTCTTGCCGCTATCACCCTCAAATACACGCAGTCCAACTCGGTTGGCTACGCTAAAGACGGTCAGATGATTGGTGTCGGCGCCGGTCAGCAGTCGCGCGTGGATTGCGTAAAGCTTGCTGGCCGCAAGGTCGCCATTTGGCACCTTCGCCAGCACCCAAAGGTGCAGGGCCTTGCTTTTAAAAGCAGCGTGAAGCGTCAGGAGCGTGTGAACGCGCGAGTGCGCTATATCGAAGGTGACATGGCGCCTGCTGAGCTCAAGACATTTAATGCGCTTTTTGAGACTGTTCCGGAACCACTGATGGCTGCAGAGAAGGAGGAGTTCCTTAAAATTCTGACGGATGTAAGCCTCGCGTCTGATGCATTTTTCCCCTTTCGTGACTCGATTGACCACGCGACGAAACTGGGCGTAAAGTTCATCACGCAGCCGGGTGGCAGCACCCGCGATGGTGACGTAAAGGCAGCCTGCGAGGAGTTTGGCATCACGATGGCTTTCTCCAACCTTCGTCTTTTCCACCATTAATAGTTTGACAGGACGGAAAGAGAGACGGATGTGCAGTTGGGTGCTTCGCGGCTTTTCTGATAGAATGCGGCAGGGCACGTCCTCGAGCTAATTGAGCCGGTGAGAGTTTTTCCGTGGCAAAAGCATTTGCTAGTTGTTATACTCATATCATAATGAACGCATGGTTGTTTTCCTGTTCCTATTCGTTTACCATGCTATTGAGGTGCAGAGCGTCGGAGCTCAATATCATCGCCGTAATCAGCGCAAGCACCGCGCCTGGTGTTGCGATGAGCTTCCTTGTGCGCTACTGCGTCTTCCTTTCCTCCTCAAGCGGCTCACTGAAAAACTTGAAATAGATCGTGGAACCAACCACGAGTACCGCAAAGATTGCTGCCCAGATGAGCTTGATGTAAAGCGGGAAAGGCTCGGTAAACATACCCTGGCCATGCTTGTAAATAACAAGCACCTCAGTGAGCACGACAGCGATGCCCAGCCAAGCACGAGGGCCCAACTTCTTCACCGGCATCTTCTTACCATCGTAGTTCATCGTAAACGAGCAAAATATGTAGTATTCCGCCACCGCGTAGCTTCCCGCCGAGTACCAGATCGCAAGGCGATAAATGTTAATGTTGCTACTTGCAGGCACCCACAGCACCGTCTTCAGAAAGAATGAGTTGAGCATCATGATCGACAGGATCGTGACCATTGACATCACTCTCCAGAAGCGCTCGGCCGATCGAAAAATCTTCCAATCGTATGCCATCCAATAAGCAGGTGTAAACTGCGCCAACGCTCGCTTCGCCTTGCCCGTCAAGTTTGGAATTTTTCGAATACCTACCCAGTTAAATCGGCGCATCTCAAAGTAGCGACAGATCTTCATTCCCAGGTAAATTCCAGCCGCATTGCACGTAAGGATATCAAAGAACACATGATCCCACCAGCACTCGTTAAAATTTGCCAGCCAGTGACTAAACGTTATTTCGTAGAGTTCAAACATGATACTCAGGATCCATGAAATCATCTTGCTGCGTACCATGAGAGACCCGACAATCCAACCGAAAAAGTGCATGATCACAAACCGATCAAATAAGGTTGCTTTAATGTTAGCAAAGTACGAGTCCGGGTTCTCAGGCGTGTACACCCGACAGTCTGTTGCGTACGAAGTCTCAGGCAGTTGGACACCAAGATTTGAATCAAAGACTTTCATAAACTCTCGAGCATCGTTTGTCCTTAGAAAAAGTAGCACAATCAACAGCATTTCATACAAAATAAAGAGTCCCGTTAAAAGCCGCCAAACAATTGGATGTGGACGGACAAAGTGACCATCAGGTAATTGTAGACTGCAGTACGTGAGGAAAAAGACACAAGCATATTCAATACCACGTGTGATATCAGCTGCATACTGTTCGTTCATATCTTCCATTTGTGCTATGGGTTCATGGAATGAAGCGTAAACAATCCACACCATGAGCAAAAAGCCGACTGTGAGCGTATGTGGACTACTAATCCATTGATCTTCATTTTCATTATCCACTTCGACGGTCTCCTCCATACTCCACTTACGATTCTCATAATTACTTCTAGTCTCAGTTGTCGTACCGTAAATATCTCGCTCCTCATCTAGATCCGAGTGTCGACGAGAACGCAATACCGTTTCCTGCGCAACTTCCATTATTGGTTGGCTGAGGTTCTTTGTTAGTCTTGAGAACGAATCAACCATTCAAAGTAAATAGTGTATGAAAATTAATAGCCATAAGCTCGGCACGAACTCTCACTTAGCAATATAATCTTCTTCTGTCGTACTACCCTCGACCAGAGACTCGTCAAATTGAAATGGTTCTATGGATGTACTCGATCTTTGCGATATTTGTCAAAGTTGTTTGCAATGCCAAAGATGTCTTTGTCATATTGCTTTGTATTTTTTGAGAAGTTGATGATGACAGTATCTCTCGTCCACCCTCTGTTGAACCACAGCTGAAACTGAGCATTTTGCAACTCCTTGATTGTATTTCTTTCCGACACATGACCGTTTTGCCCGATTTCAAGCAGCGTTGCAATCGTTTTGTCGCCACGCTCCACTTCCAGCGCTTCGACGATTTTGATATCCGCTTTCCGCGGATTGACGATATTGGTGGGATCCGCATTATCTTTGTAGCGGTTTCGGACCGCCAAAACCCAACTGTAGAAATCCTTGCTCTGTAAAAGCTCCGTGTCGTCTAGATGACGAAGACCATACAACGAATACAAATTTCTCGGCGTTGCCAATTTCGCCTTCCATGCTGCAATGCGAACTATGTAATTAGCCCTTGAGAAAAATGCATCTACGTTGGAATTGAATTCCAGGTTTGTCAGTTTGGACTTTAATCCAGAAAATTCTTCAGGATCGACCATTTTAAGAAGCGCACTTATGGACACATCCGACCTTAATTTACGCTTGGACAAGCCACTTGTGTGAGCCATATCCAGCGTAGTCGAAGCATCCGAGTTCCCTATTGCACCCCCAGGTGACTCTCCAGTAGTCATGCTCGTAACCGAGAATGCGAGGAGCACGAAAACAGTTCGTAGCGTTGCGTAGAAACATTGGGCTATCAATTTAACGTGCATCGTTGAAGAATGAGCACAAGAGTGATGTTAGCAGGACAATGCAGAGTGACGAGACTAGAAAACTAAACTGCACGATCGGCCAATGCATGTCCCTGCTACGCAATGCAGACTCTTCTGTCGTGCCTATTGAAAAGCCATGTAAAATGTGGCTAGAGTCGTTTGAATCATTCTGTCCGATGTGCATGATCGTTCAAGCAAATCGTAGCTGATCATTACATGTAGACGATGATTTGTAACCTTTTAATCTTGGGCTAGAAGATGCAAAGGTGCCTTGTTCTATTGTTCCTACAATCTTTCTTCCGTCTATCTTAAGCGGCTGCAGATCCCCAGTAGAACTGTCTATAAAGACATGTTCGTTCCAAGCTGGTTTGAATACATGCCAAGCAACTTGAATCTCGTTGATGCTGATTAAGGGCTATGATAAGCCATGGATCATTTTGATCGATTCGGGGGCATCGGGCAATTATGTGCGCCGTGTCACCGTGGAGGTAGTCAGAAGTATGCTGAAGCGCTTGCAGCGCGTGAAAGTGACACAGTCATGGCTCGCTTAGCGACTGGTACGCGTGTTACGGTACCCAAGTTTCGATGGAGTTAGTTGTAAAGTTCTTGGACTTTAACAGCATGGAACGCTGTTGGATCTTAGAAGGGACGGACGATGACAATAGGAGTTGCGTTAGCATAGGGAATGTCTGTCGAAGGAAACAAGCGCATTGAAGGTGAGGTTTGAACATGGATTTGTAAAATGATTGAAAATAGAGGCCACGTCATGCGTCTAGTTGAACCAGAACACGAGCTAACATGTCGAAAGCATTCAACGTCTTTTGTCATTGGTGGCAGGGCAAAGAAAAAAGTGATGGCCATTTCAACCGTATGTGGTTTCCATCTCATAAAGGCTCTATCGAGTCCGTATCTGCAGTTGCAGCAATGCCAGCCATCTCAAGAACTGGTCGCTAAATTCATTGACTGTCAATACAAGGTCACACGAGCCTGCTGTTGTTACTGTTATTCCAGCTTTGTCTCTTCTCACAGCGTTGCAACAACTGCTTGTCAGATGCCAATGCTCTGTTTGGTGACAATAGACAGTTCAAACAACGTTTATCAGTCTCCTGCTTTCAATTTGCCTTCTGCGCTCACGTCGTCGCTTTGTGCTGCAAAACTAGAGCTGGTCTTTGATACAAATTGCATTGGTGACTTGCAACGTTTTCTATAGAGGGTATATGACAGCATGAGTACCACCCCGCACACTTGAAAACCCCACTGCTGCCTTGAAGGCGAGACTTCAATGTCGTAAGCTGATGATGAGCTAGAAATCATCATCGTATGGCAGACGCTTTCGTTCTAATCTGGACGCTTTGAACACACAATAAGCGTCCTATTTGGAACCAACTTGTGATCACAGTAAGTATTATAGTTGACGAAGTGACTTTCGATCGATGCCATGCTTTTCGTTGATATTCGTTCAGCTCTATCTGTTTGACTACTGTCGAAGCATCATGTTTGCGGAGCTAGCCACACGAATAAGAGTTCTAACAGCTGTCTGAGAGATCGAACAGGTCTAGTGCTGACAAGCTAGCTGCCCTTACGCTTCACCTCATCGCCGACCAAGATTGTTTTCAACCTCGCAACCTTACAACGTGTCCACACGTGGTCAAAACATGCGACCAGCTCATCACGCAAAAGTGCATTGATTTAAAAAAAGCACCTTCCCAAGTTCAGCGCAGTAAGTATCCCAGGTGATCCCGACAGGGCACGATATGATCATGGTGCATTGATGATGAAATGCTATGTCTTGTGTGAGATCTCCCTGTCTTCACCTAATCTTGCACCAACCTCCTCTTCGTCATTGCTGTCATTGTCACCATGACACGTAAACCCTTCCTCACACGAAGATGTCGCCTCGGAAGAATCCAAGTCTGAATCGGAGGAAGATGATGATTCAGCATCATTGTTGTCGTCGGCTTCAACGAGACTGCGTTCTAGCTCTTCCAATGCCCAACCTGTTTCGCTCTTTCTGAAGGCAGCAATATGACCATCCAATTCTACGCTTATGTACCGAAGACGCTCATCGGTGACAGACTGAATCCACACGCAGTAGTCTTTCACATAAAGCGAATTAAGTAAATACTGGGTCTCAGCGAGTTCAACGATCCGATGGAGCGTTAGCAATGCTCGTAGTACAACGCGCTTGCCACGCTTCAGCAGTTCACTGGCCTCGCGAACTGAGCGCAGGGCCAGGTCATACTGCCGTAGAAACGGAAAGGTGATCATGCGCCGTACGCTTGAGCGCACAACAGCGCGCAAATCAGCATTTGAATCCAGCCACGACAATGTCGGACTCACGATACTTACCGTCCAAGTCGATTCAACACCACTGTCGCCCTGAGTAGTGAGTTGGTCATAGACAAAACCGATGAGAATGTCGACCAAACCACCAACCACTAATGCTTCATCTAAACTGCCTTCTGGAAGCAAGAATTCCTTTCGAGGAAGCCGCAGCAGCAATTCCTGCTCTGCATCCGTCAATGTTACTGACGATGCAGCATGCACCGGAGGTGAAGTGGCGTCAAGGGACAAGCGGTCGATACATTCTTCAACGCGGCTGACATCTGTATCCACCCCAACACTTGAAGGTTCCGGCACCCTGATTTCGATTTTATCTTTTGGGGCCTTTGCCGCCGGTAAAAAGACTGGATACTTTCTCCAAAAAGGCACATAATCCATGGCTAGCTTAAAGTACATGTCATCACCTTGATTAGCAAAATCCATCAAGTAGCGTTCGATATCAAACTGTTGCTCTTCAGCAGCCTCACGAAGGATGCGTCGCTGTTCTGGCTGAATGTGCTCCGGATCAGGTAAAGACACAATTTCGCTTACTTCGCCGTGCCACACGCGGAAAAAGTCGCTGTACGCGTTGTTGAATCCATACGAAGGCGTGAGATCAGTCACGCGTACACCCATGAATTCAGACGCCTTCTTCTTTTCAGTATCAAACTTCATTGAACCAAATTTCGGCGCAGATTCCGTAACCTCAAGCCCAAGAAGCGACGAATCGGTCTGCACGTGATCTGTCAAAGGCACGACATCTTTGTCATTGCAACAATAAAGCTCTTCCGACTTGTCCTGGATACAACCACTTGATTCTTCACTTGGTGGTGTCAATACTTCAATAAGTGGTGCTTTACTCAATCCTAAACGATCCAATGGATATTCTCGTGGCTGTAGCAATTTTGTAAGCATATCAAGGTCAGGAAAGACTTGGCCTGGCTCCTTCTTGGGTAAATGTACGACAATCATGCCATTGTCCTATATGCCACACACAATAAAATATCATTAGAGAAGAGAATCGAAGCCAGCCAGCCAGCCAAACAAACAAACATACACGAATTGATATCGTAAGTAGAATACCACCTTATTCGGATCATAGACAGCTTTTGTCAAGTCATTATCCAGTACTTCATGTGGAAAGTGTAACTTGAGTAAATACGGTTTACAAAAGAAGGAAAAGTCCATACCATCTACATGAAATTCCGTCTCTAATACGCGTACAAAGGGCACATGTACATGCACGAAAATCCACGCCTGGTCTTGTCGAACGTGAAATTTCGGCGTTGCGACCATTCTTGAATAACGTCACAATTTCAACTTTCAACTTTGAAATATGACCATAGGAGTGGTTTTCATATCCTGTTCAATGTGATAATCAACAACCCATTGCGTTTCACAAGAATACAAAATCTTGCGAGTGAATCCATTTAAGTACGAAATACGGGAGATCGCTCTCTCATACAAAAGTTAACACGAAGAAGAAGCTCAAGGGATTTCTATCACTACATCTCTCTCTCTCTCTAAATATAATGGTGGATATTGCCATGATAGCCGCAGATGACAGTGCAGGATTAACGAGTTACTATGAACAAAAAATTGAGCATTTAGAGCTCACAGTACGTGATGAAACGCAGAATCTTCGACGTCTACAAGCACAACGCAATGAACTGAATTCAAAAGGTCTCTCTCTCTCTTGTCTCTTGTTGTTGTTATTATGATTATTATTGGAGTTAATTCATGTCATGTATATTGTATGTATATAGTACGTTTATTACGTGAAGAATTGCAGTTATTGCAAGAGCCTGGATCGTATGTGGGTGAAGTTGTGAAGCAAATGGGCAAGTCAAAAGTACTAGTCAAGGTGAATCCAGAGGGAAAATATGTGGTGGATGTAGATAAGACCATTGAGATTGCAAAATGCACACCAAATACGCGAGTCGCACTTCGAAATGACAGTTATGTGCTACACAAGATTCTACCGACAAAGGTACGTACGTCTGTGGGATATATTTGAGGATCTATGAACAATGAGAGTCACTTTGATGAGGGTTTTGGCATTGTAATCTAGGTGGATCCACTCGTGAGTTTGATGAAGGTCGAAAAGGTGCCAGACTCGACGTACGATATGATTGGTGGCTTGGATAAGCAGATTCGTGAAATCAAGGAGGTGATTGAGCTACCGATTAAGCATCCAGAGCTTTTTGATGCTCTAGGTGTGGCTCAACCCAAGGGAGTACTGCTCTATGGACCACCTGGTACAGGCAAGACGTTGCTCGCTCGTGCAGTGGCACACCACACGGACTGCACATTCATCCGTGTGTCGGGTGCTGAGCTAGTGCAAAAATATATCGGTGAAGGTTCACGAATGGTCCGTGAGCTTTTCGTCATGGCTCGAGAAGCGTCGCCGTCAATCATTTTCATGGACGAAATTGACTCCATTGGTAGCTCGCGTATGGAAGGTGGTGGCGGTGACTCCGAAGTGCAACGGACGATGCTCGAATTGCTGAACCAGCTGGATGGTTTTGAGCCGGCTCAGAACATCAAAGTCATTATGGCTACAAACCGTATTGATATTCTCGACGCGGCACTGTTGCGTCCCGGCCGTATCGACAGAAAAATTGAATTTCCGAACCCGACGGAAGGGGTGCGTATTATGTTGTGCTAGTGAGTAGTCGGTCGATAGAAACTAATTTGTGGCATGGTATGTGTAGTCGCGCATTGATATCATGCGCATCCACTCGCGAAAGATGAACCTCCTGCGTGGCATCAACCTGAAGGTCGTTGCTGAGAAGATGCCGACCGCTTCGGGTGCCGAGTGTAAAGCTGTGTGCACGGAAGCCGGTATGTTTGCATTACGTGAACGACGGATCCATGTTACTCAGGAAGACTTTGAGATGGCTGTGTCCAAGGTAATGAAGAAAGACTCGGAGCAGAACATGTCGATTAACAAGCTTTGGAAGTAAGCCACGTCGTTATGTACAAGCTAAGCTAAAATAGCGGTTTAGTACATGACCAAATATGCTTGCTAGATGAATGGTCTTCCACTCGTTCGATGCGCAATAGGTCCCATTGGCAAAAATTTGATTGAGCTTTGATTGAATGCTGGCGGTATGTGTGAGTTATTTACTTGTTTCTCGATTGGATATCAGCGGCTTCAATTGTAGTTGTCACCGAGTTTGATGACACGTCGTGACTACTGGCCACGTTACTTCCAGCTACATACGCGACTGCCTGATGGCTTTAACGCGCGGTATCCGACGCTCATTCATTTGACTCGTGAGTGGAAGAATATAATTATCAGTATGCCACGTTGACGCCGTACACAGCCACGAAACAGAAAAGAGTGAGTATCAGATATTTATGGATGCACTTGTGACGTTCATCGCGTGTGTGTGTATGCCGGCAGGAATTGGTGGGCAACAATATACAAACATGATCAAGGTATATCGACTGTATGATCAAGCACAAGGGCAACAATGTTTCTGGACAAAGAGCTGTCGTGCTCGACCAAGCAAGCGACAAAACCTAATAGCAAAGCTGTAAATTGCACACTCACGTCTCCGTGAAGCAATAGCGAATGCCTTGCGTTGGAAAACACAATACCTACAACTGTTGCTACAAGTGGCATCGATCAATCTGGAGAGAAATCGACGGATGCAAGAGAGCTACAGAACGAGACAAAGGCTGCGTTGTTGGTCATGAACTGGCAATACGTTCGACTTGAAACGTTCAGTAGCACAAGCAGTACTTCCATATACCGTCTACTGTCAACGAAGTGATATCGAGAAGCGATCATACAGACATTGTATCGTTCAAGATATACAGATGATGAAACATTGGTCACCATGATAAGATGTCAGCCCATGGTTCACGTAGTAGTGTCGTGGACCTCGTAGACGATCTCATTAGGCTATGATAAGCTTTGTTAACAAGAGATGTTAGCTGTCAAAGCGCCATGTTAGTTCTTGACACAATGTCCATCTGAAGGACCGAAAACTCACGACTCAGACGTTTCCAGTAGCGCATTAGCTGTGAGTTGCTCATCGCCACCGCAAGATTCATAGAGCACCTCCACAAGGTCACGAGCAAATCCCATCGCGACAAGCTACCACACAAGGAATCGAGCACATGAGGATAAAGTTAGCAAGCAGGTACAGAATCAAGTCAGCTTGCAAGATCGCCCTACCCGATTAACTGCGTCTCTTGAGCTATTGTTAAATGCTTCGGTTTCCACTCGCTTCTCGAGCTCCGTATCAGTATCGCGTTCACTGTACGTCTTTGTCTCGACGACCGCCATAGACGCAGCTGGAGTCGGAAGCGCAAGTAGCTGTAGCGTCGTCACGGGGTCTTGATGAAGTTGATGGAGTGAGTCGGACGAAAAGTGCTCCTTCAGGTGCACTACTGCTTCCAGTGAATCCATAGCCACCACTTGTTGTAGTCGCCTTAGATTCTCATCAAGCACTAAACTTCGTCGCGGACCAATTGAAGATGCTTGCGTCACGCAAGCTGTCGCCATCGCATTGATAGTAGACGACGTTGCATCGGATGCAAACACAAAGAAGTCAGATGGAGTCCATGCGTTCAGGTCAATAACGTCCGAATCGGCTCGAATCTCGCCACGATGGAGGATGAAACAATCTTCAAGGCTAAACTGCGAGTTCCTGCGAGTCTTGACGCCCTTGTTGTTCAACCACACCTGTTGTCGGTGCTGTAGTACGAGCTTCTTGAGCTCAGCTACTTGGATACTGTATCCGTTCGTTCCATGACGTTCGAATAGTAGCTCACGACCATCGTCAAGACAACGTACTCGTAGCACCAACATGTTTATACTCTAACTAGAAACGGTTGAGCCAAGGGGATTGACGCGATCATTAGCAGCAACGTATTGTCTTTGCTCATTGCAAAAGGGACTTAGGACATGTATTAGACAGATAGTTAGGACTATATCAACTCACTCATAGGAAGGTGACTGAATCGACAAAGACCGGTTCAATGGTATCATTCGTACCATGCTAAGTAAAGTCGATCGTTGCTGGTATGTCCAGCAACAACTCATAACACCAAAGTATTATGGAAAGCTAGGGACGAAAATCACGTCAAGGACTTGTTTGTTTCTAGTTCTAGTTTGATTGGTTTATGCTGCGTGAGTTGTTCCTTCTGTTGTCTGAGCAAGTGACATTGGCTCATTACTCAATTGCTCATACAGCTCAGCAATCTATCACAGCAACAATAGATCAATCAATACGTAGATAAATAGATCGATAGAACGGGCAAACCTACTCGATAGATCAAGTGTTTTTGTTCCTTTAAAAGTTGTGCAGTCGTATCTTCGCCTGTCATACTCGCACCGCGTCGACGGTTGGCTGCTAATGCTGCGGCAATCTTTTGTGCATTATGATCAAGACATTCAACAAGATCTTGTACAAGTTGTATCTCCCGAGGTACGATATCTCCACGTAAGAGTAAGGCATTGATCACGGTGTGACTACCAGTCACAAACTTTTCCGGTCCAGTATCTTTCTCACTCATTCTCAACTAATCCGTTTGGATAAAATCCAGAGAAAACCAAACCAAAAGAGAAAATCCACTGCAGTCGAGAACAAAAAAAAGATAAAATCCACTGCCGTCGACATGTCGGCGGATCTTTTTGCAGACTGGAAGAGGGAAGAGGAAGGTCTTCCAGATACACGTACCACTCATCCATCAAGCAGTAATAGTCATACTCATGCTACTAATATCTATGATAGCGTGAATCTCTCTCATCATACTGATCCATATAGTGGTGACCGCAGTAGTAATGATGATTTTGATTTTGAGACAATAAATCAAGATAATCCTTTGAATCGAGATAAAGATCAAGATGGAGATCGAGGAGGAGATAATGATCAAGATCAAAGGCCAATGTTTGAGCTACGAGAACATGGATTAAAAGTCTCACGTCGGAAAGGATTTACATTAAATTGTATGAGTATTGGAAATGGTGTTGTCGTCATGGGATCTCAGGAAGGAATGTTACTTCGTTGTACAACGGAAGCTACTGATAGTAGCAGTAATAATGGATCCGTGGAAGAAATTATGATTGAACCACGTGTTGCCATGGCAGATGTCGCAATTGATCCCACAGGAGCTCATGTGCTCATTTCGATGGAAAATGGATTCAATTTTTATTTACATACTGGATCAACTCGTCCACGAAAGATCATGAAAGCTCAGGGTTTACAATTTACAAGTATTGCATGGGATCGTCAATCGAGTTCACCGGAAACTTCCGAGTCTGTGCTAATTGGAACGGATTCAGGAGCAGTCTATGAAGCTGAATTTGAAGCAGGAAAAGAAAAGTTGTTTAAGAAAGTCTATCAGATTGCCAACCAAGGACCTATTGCTGGTATTGCGTTTGAACACTGGAAAGTACCATCGGGCGAGGTGAGATATTTTGTCATGCTTACGACGTCAGCGTCGGGAAAAAGACCGACGCGAATGTTTCAGTTTATTGGCGGAGGACCAGGTGGACTGGAAGCCATGTTTACAGAGTACAGTAGTCCAGATAAATTGCGGTTTCAGGAATTACCGGGAGACGTTTACACGGCGGATCTACGATTCTATGCGAAACAAGAGCGTGAACGTGCAAAGGGATTTGGTGTACTTACAGGTGAAGGGGTCTATCATGGAGAGTTTGTCTTTGGTCTGTCGAGTACGGTGGAGAATGTGACGACAGGCACGGGGCTACTGGCATACCCGAATAAACCTATAAAGTCTTCAGGCACTCGCGGATCATGGACACCACCAATTTCAATGGCAGTGACACAGTACCACGTAATTCTCTTGTTCGCACGTCATGTTCAGGTAGTGTCGAAGCTAAATGGCGTAGTTGTAATGGAGGAATCGTTTGACTCGCGAGTCGGGAATGTGCGCGGCATCACTGTGGATGACACATTTGGTACCGTGTGGGTTTACTCGAACCGTCGTATTCTAGAGGTGGTCATTGCAGACGAGGACCGTAATGTGTGGAAGCTGTTTCTTAGCAAGGCTGTGGCAGGCAACGGTGACGATCGCGATTTTGAACAGGCGTTGGGTGTTTGTCGCAACGGATGGGAACGTCAGCGCGTGCTGACAGCACAGGCAGACAAACTTTTTGATAAGGGAGAGTTTGATCGTGCCGCAGTTATCTACGCCAAGACGACGCGTTCGTTCGAAGAAGTAGCGCTGAAGTTTCTTGAAAAGGAGACTCGCGACTCGCTGCTTCTTTTTTTGTTACAGAAGCTGAAAAGTTTGGGAAGTGAGGAGAAGACACAAAAGACTGTGCTTTGCTCGTGGATTGTTGAACTGTTTTTGGATAAGTTTAATGTGCTGAAGGGCAGTGCCCAGGATGTCGATGCGCACGCTAATTTGTTGTTCGAGTTTAAGCAGTTTCTGCAAGATCAAAAGAGTCATCTTGACCCAGCCACGACGTTCAATCTGATCTCTAGTCATGGTCGACCTGATGAGCTTGTGTTTTACGCAACTCTTATTGAAGATTACGAAAAAGTTATTACTTACCATGTGGATCGTGGTGAGTATGGAGCTGCAATTGAGTTGCTTCGCAGTGTGGAAACATCCAAGGTGGAAGAGCTCTGGTACAAGTATTCTCCTGAACTGATCATCCACAAGCCGAAGCAGGTGTACGAAGCATGGCTAGAGGCTGCCACATTGAACCCAACCCGTCTCATTCCGTCGATTGTACGTCATGTGCACCAGAAGAGTGGTGCGAGTGGAGACGTGGCTAGTAATACGACGAAAAGCCGTTCGGTATTGGATATGGCCATTCGGTTTTTGAAATTTGCTATCAAGCAAGGTAATCGCGATCCAACAATCCATAATTACATGTTGTTTCTGTTGGCCAAGCACCCTGATGAGCGTTTACTCATCAGCTTTTTGCGCAAGAAACACAATGGTAGGCACCTGTTTGACATTGCATTTGCGCTACGGCTTTGCACACAGAATGAGAAGAATCGCGCCTGTATTTACATCTACTCGGCGATGGGGCTATATCAGGACGCCGTGGAGAAGGCACTCCAAGTAGATGTCAAGATTGCTAAAGAAATGGCAGGCATGCCTGAGGATGATGAGACTCGCAAAAAGTTGTGGACGCTGATTGCCAAGCATACGATTGATGCAGGTGGTGAGATCAAGGATGCCATGAATATCCTAAAGGAGAGTGATCTATTGAAGATTGAGGACATCCTTCCTTTCTTCCCTGACTTTGTCCTGATTAACGACTTTAAGAAGGAGATTTGCGAATCGCTTGAGGTCTACAATGACCGTATTGAACAGCTGAAGGAAGAGATGCAGGACTATACACAGTCGGCCGAGCTGATCCGTGCTGACATGCAGAAGCTGCGCAAACGTTGTGCTGTCGTTTCTGGCAACCAGCGCTGTGAGCTTACGGGCCAAAATATTTTGGGTAAGGAATTCTACCTCTTTCCGTGCTCGCACGCTTTCCACGCTGGTGCACTACGTCAGGAGATGCAAAAACATCTCAACAGTTTTCAGCGACAAACTGTCAAGCAGCTTATCCAGAAACTGAATGAGCTTTCCACGGAAATGCCCGCAACCACGAAATTTTTCCAGCGACCGCTTTCAGCTTTTCTGTTCCTGAACTTGTCTTCGAGCGAGAAGGAAGTGATGACACCTGGTAACGAGGGAGTTAGTGCTGCAGCGACGGCAAAGGCGAAAAAGGAAGCAAAAGAGCAGTCCATTGCTCAGGAGCGTGAGATGGTGCAGCAAAAGCTAGACGAGATCATTGCATCCGAGTGTATTTTCTGTGGTGAGGTTATGATCAAATCCATTCACGCACCTTTCATTACGCCGGAGGATGACGCAAACGAAGGTAGCGAGTGGGCCATCTGAGGACCGATGGCATCGAATTGATCGTAAAGTGTTGGAACGTTGCTGGACCACGAGTAAAGACCATTGACTAAGTAAGTACCTTTGCATTTCAAAATGAAAGGTACTATGTGTTGAGCTTTTGTTTGTGAACGCGCAAGCTCTGCTGTTATTGTTATCGATGCTGATGTGTCAGTGTGAGTTCTTGATCCATTACGCTAGTAGCATGCTTGGCGCTTTACTGCACTAATCTCGAAGACCTGAAACAGGACAAGAGCTTGTCGAGCATTTTTGGTTCTTGTGGGCTTTGTTGTGAACTTCAAGTAGTAGCAGTCTAGCGACGTATTGATCCTTTTTTGCAGTGCTCAGTCCAGTCTTGCCCGTCTCATTCTTGTCACATGTAGAAATGAAGATAGCATTGATAACATCAACTTTAATGGCAGAAAATGCCGTGCATGACACAAGCATAAGCAAGGGGATGCCGGAGAAAACCTTATACTCAATAGTGAACGTCGGCATTCGACGTGCTGAAGTCTCGCATCTTGACGTCGCTCCGTCTGTTACGGTAGTCACAAAAATGTGGTGAGCTGCAGGCAATGAGTTTCGTGCAATTTGCACATTGGACATCTCGTACGCTCTCCATAGCTGTGCCCGGATACAACGCAGCTAGAATCGTTGCCACCAACTTGCAGCTGTGACAAGGTCTCAAAATGGTCTTAACTGATTCTCCACGGAGACCACATACACAACGCAGTAGTGGCGAGTATTGGGTAAAAGTAGGAACAAAGCGTTCCACATTACGTTACCGGCCTCGAACATGGATGCATTACGCAATTCGTATCTCCTTGGTTCAGGAAGGGTAGGGTGGCATTCATACTAAAAACTGAGTTCATCTCATGTGTCCTTATTTCCATCCCGAGCTTGAGTGAAAGCTGGCCATTGATCTTCTTGTTGAGGCATCTGAAGACAACGATGGCGAGCTACGAGTCAAAGAGGAGCGACGCGTATCGCCACCTGTCTTTGGTATTGCTGCAGAGGCTCTGGCTGGTGTTCTTGATAACTTTCTTGATGAAGTCCTCAATGAAGGCGAAGTTGCACGATGCAGAGTTCGTGTAAGCTTACTCGGCGAAGCTGAAGAAGAAAGAAATGTGTGAGGTCTTGATGATCCCACCGCTTGCGCAGACTGCGCCCTCGATACACGACCGGCTACAGTATTCTGAGAAGCTGAAGATGCCATTGAGTCTGCTGGCCGCGTTCTGGAAGAAGGATGTAAAGGTACTCGACCCTCTGATGGTGAAGCTCTTTTCGCTCGCAGTGATCGAGGTGTTGCCAATTTTAGCATCGAGCGAGTCTGAAGTGCTGACAATGATTTACGCCGGCTGTCATAGTCGACAATTGTGCTAGCACTTGCCGTAGAAAGCGACTTGCGGCGTATATCAGAGTCCACAACTCTATCTTGGGAAGCGGCTGATAGCGACATACGTCGTTCCTCATGGCCCATCGTCAATTCGAGGCATTGATGCTGAGAGACGGTTGAAGACGACACAGCTGAGTTTGGGGCACAAGTTGTTCCTGTAAGTCGTGGTGAAGACGACACTTGACAAGATTGTCGAGGGTACGGTTGCCGAGACGGCGCTGCTGATGATTGAAAGCATCGAGCCAAACGTGTGGATCGTGCTGATGGCGCCGAAGCTGTGGGCAAAACATTTTGACTTGATTTTGCGGAACAAGTAGGGCTTGTTGGTCGTGAGGTCGGAAACGGAGAATGATCTGATGGTGAAGTTTCACATAAGTCCAGATCATCAGCTACCTTACCTCCACGCTGGCACCCAACAAGCAGCCGTACTTGCCGTTCTAATGCTTCTTTGCTACTCTGCGCTTTGTGTATTTCTTCTCCTTGCTGCAGGCATTGTTGCTGCAAGTCAATCAGCTGAGTCTCTAATGCTACCGTCTTGGATCGAAATGAACGATTCTCTTCCTGTAGTTTCAGAACTGCGCCGCTTTCAACACTAGGACGCACAGCACCCATCCGCACCTGGCTAACACGAGCGCCAAACTGCAAAGAGCAAGTCGTCTCCTCAACATCAGCCGTGTCAGGGCTTAGTTGTAGCATCAGCAATGTCTTGGCTTGTCCTGATATCATGTCACGTAGCAAATAAGTGAGCTTCGAGTTGCGATACGGTATATGCTTAGCCTTGTGCTGTAGCCCGTAGACCACATCTCCAAGTGCTGCGAGAGACTTGTTAATGTGTTGCGTTTCGCGCAAGCGATTCCCTTTCACTTGACTACGCGATATTCGTTCTGATCCAGCTAAATCCACCAAGCACAACGTACTCCTGCGCACTTCCCTAGTCTCACGGTGTTGGCTATTAAGGTGCAAGAACACCAGTGCATGGGATCTACTACTTTCCAAGTTCATCTTCGTAGCTGCAGTATTTCGATTCGCATTTCCATCACGCATCACTGCATCCACATGTCCGTAGTCACTCACGTCACGTGATGTAAACTCCGTCTCATTCCTTGCTACCGTATTCTTGCCACCTTTGGTATTATTCTCATGCAGCAAATCTAAAATCTGATCGTTGTAGATCTCTACCATGCTCACTCGAAGTGAATCTACATACGTCATTTGCCGCTTCTTTACCATGGCAAACACATGCTGGAGAGCACGTGGAATCACGCCAGCATTGGCATGCAGCGTGAGCCCACTAGCGCTGTGTTCCAGTAAGCCTTGTCCATTACCAACCATCGTGTGGGTCTTACCTGTTCCAGTCTGCCCGTACGCCATAATGCACGCATTATATCCATCTGTGAATGACACAATCAGTGGTTCAATCTGCGCGTACACTTCTGACTGTGTACTTTGTGGCCCAAAGACCTTATCAAAGGCAAACTCCTTCCCAGAGTGTGATACCAATAAATTATTCGGGCGTGGCATCAGTAATGCCGGACACTTTGTCTCCTCTCTACTCTCTTTCCGTGGTCGTAAACGACAAAACACTCGAATCCTTCCAGACAAATCGTAATACTTTTCAGCTATCGCTTCCTTTTCCCTCTTCTCTGCCAAAAAACTCTGCTGCAGCACCTGTTCTCGCCTATTGACATCTTCCACTACTATCGTCATCGCACTTTCTACCATCAACGCCATTTCGTCGTGACCACTCTTCACCTGTTGTCTCACCACTTGCAGCTCTTGTTTTAACGCTGTCAGCTTACGCAGCGTTGTGACTGCCACACGTTTCCACTTTGCTACATTTCCACCAAAATGTAAAGCCTGGTCTCTCAACAACTCATTCTCCTGCACTACTTCCTCCATATGAATCGCCTGCTGCTCAACCTGTACTCTTAAAGCAGCATTCTCCTCTGTCAGACGAATCTGCAAAGCTTTAGATCCTTTAAGCTTCGTGTGCAATCTCTTCCGCTCGTATTCAAGCTCCATAAGTCGACTCTGGAAAGCAGAGAGAGAGTCAAGAGCTACATCGTCCGTTGCATAGTGTGCATTGAATGTACTGGAGCTGCAATCGTCCAAGCACGTTGGACGTTTCTTGATCTCTAGTTCTTTCAAAACCTGCGTAATCCGTTCCTGAAGCTCTTCAGGCGACAACGACTCATACTGTGGCACATGCACTGCCATTGTATCAAACTCAAGCTGAGACAATACCAAGATGACGAAATCATTCGTCATAGGATGTTTCAGAGGTACTTGAATGACATTACGGCCAAAGATGAGACGATGGGACGTCATTTGAGACAATGGTAGCATCAATTCTGGATCTTCCTGAGCAAGAAGATCATTAATAGATGAAGTAGATGAAGTGGAAGATGCTGGAGAGGGAAGGGGGGAGAGGGATAACGACCCTGAAGCCACATGAGCGTGCAACTGCATGGGAAGACAGTCGAAATGACAATGTCATGAGGAATTGGAGCGTTGAGGGATCTGATTGGATAAAATTCAATGTGACAAGTTGGTGGGTTGAATATGTAGCCATTGTAGTATTAAAAGCAAAGTGTAGCCATTAGTCAAGCATTGCGCCGAGGTGCTATAGTATTGATTGAGGCTTACGCACATAACGGTGTAAGGCCTATCGTACAATATGTATATGACGACATTTGTTGATGCAAACAAAATGTCGTGCAACACTTAATACCCTTCGTGAGCACGGCACATCGCACAAACATCTCGCTCTCCAAGAGAATTATAAACGTTGGCGGGTTTGAAAGTCCTGGATAAGGTCTCACCAATGCGCTGATGTTATTCCTCTTCTTTTGCCGATAACATTCGTGCTTGGGAAGTTCGTGCAACTTGACGAGTCATTCAGACTGTCTGTTGAGCGTACACTTCTTTACAAGCGCTTCCACAATGTGCAGCTTATCACCCGTCTCCTCATCGAGTATCACCTATACTGCTTTCATTACGTATGGACGCTCGACGACACAAGAAAGGCTAAAGGCTTTTGGCACATCGGTGGTCAAGCGCGTAGCAGGATACCTTGGGTGCTTCGACATCTAATCGACTACCGTCATGATAGCGTCACATTCATTTGACACTGCCAGGCCAGTCACACGTCCAAAAACGACAGCTTCCTTACACTCCTTGAATACTAATATTGACATAAGCTTTGCGTGTTCGTCTTCCATTGTGCATGTCCCACATCTTCTTACATATTCACGTACATCTTTTACCAGCTTTGGCCAATTATACCATTGTGCAACTTGAAGCTGCATGCGGTGCTATCCCGAACGTACGGCTGTGGTGTCCATCGAAAATGTCAGTGATAAAGTGTTTACGATTCCATGACGCGCCTTCCTCTCCTGCACCAAAGGGGTGGAGCTTCAAGTGACAAACAAGCGACGTTGAGCCGCATCCTTAAATGCGTTTACATTATCACTTCTTGATCGCAATCAGGTTTGGTCATCGATTTAGACAGGTTATCATGTCGTCTTTTTTACGTAAAAAGCTTTTTGTAATTACTTCAAGTTATTTTACCAGTTCACCATGCTCCTGATTCGTAATCATTTCAACCATTATTATTAGCTTGGAGTCTTATTATTAGAACACCCATTACATTCACTCTTACATTTAGTATCATAAAAACAATGACAAAGCAGCATCTGGCCAAGGGTATTGGACGTATCTCTAACATGGTCATGACCAAGGCCAAGGGCTCGTGGGTCTGGACGTCCAATAATCGTAAACTACTAGACTTTACAAGCGGCATTGCCGTCACCAGTGTGGGTCACTCGCATCCAAAGGTGGTTGCTGCTGTACAGAAACAAGCTGCGACGCTCGTGCACGCGCAGGTGAATATCGGCTATCACCAGCCTATGCTAGACCTGGTCGATAAACTACTGCCAGTGGTTCCTGCGAGCTTAGACTCGCTTTTCTTCGCTTGCAGTGGCTCGGAGGCTGTAGAAAATGCCGTCAAACTGGCGCGTCATGCAACAGGAAAGAGCAGGGTGATCGCTTTCCAGGGTGGCTACCATGGTCGCACGTTTGGTGCCATGAGCCTCACATCGAGCAAAACAGTATACAGCGCTGGTTTTGGACCGCTCATGCCAGGCGTCACATTCGTGCCGTACCCGTACGCACTGCACGGCCCAATCCACGAAGACGAGAAGAACGCCGAGTGGTGTCTCGAACAGCTACGTCTTGCACTGAAGCAGCAGTCGGCTCCACGTGACACGGCAGCGATTATCATTGAGCCGGTGATAGGTGAAGGAGGCTATGTTGTGCCGCCAAAGAGCTTTATGAAGGGTCTGCGCGAAATTGCCTCGGAGAATGATATTTTGCTCATTGCCGATGAGATTCAATCTGGTTTTGGACGCACAGGCAACTACTTCTCCATTGACGGCCACTTTGACGTCCAGCCAGACATTTTGACCTTTGCCAAAGGCATTGCCGACGGCTACCCGCTCAGTGGTATTGCAAGCCGCAGGGAGTTGATGGACATGCAGCCGCCAGGGTCGATGGGTGGCACCTATGCGGGTAATGCCGTCGCTTGTGCTGCTGCTATTGCGACGCAGGAAGTCATTGCCGAGGAGAATGTACTTGAAAACACGCGCACTCGTGGTGCGCAGCTGCAGGCTGGTCTAAATAAGCTGAAGGCATCGGGCAAGTACCCTATTCTGGACGTACGTGGTCTGGGCTTGATGATTGGCGTCGAATTCGATCCTGAAATGGCTCCGCAGAGCACGGCGAATAAGATTTCAGCGGCCTGCCTTGACCACGGCATGATGCTGTTGACGACGAGCGTTTACGAAACATTGCGTTTTATGCCTCCATTAACTGTTTCGGAGGACGAGTGTGCGCTTGCACTGGAGATTTTTGAAAAAGCTTTAGACGACGTCTTTAAGAAATAGGCATACTCACTTGCAAAACTAGTAGTCGAGTCGATTTGAGCTGAAATAAGCACCAGAATGGTATCGATACGCTGGGTGGAAAGGCAAACTACAAACTGAATTATTGATTACTTCAGATCATGTAGCAAAGTAATGTCCAGGCAGAATATACTATCTTGGTCCTATTACAAGCTTCATGCGATTCCCTTTTCCCACGCACGCTTTCATCTATATGACATACTGACTGTAGATGACATCTAAGAGCCCTTATACTTGTCGTACTTTTTCCACTTGACTGTATTCATATTATTCATAATCACATGCAGAAAAGCTCGACCTCGACTGCTTATGCAGTAAACTCATCCAAAATCATGTATCAATGTTTAGGTCGTGCTTGTAACAAATTGGTCGTTATCATTCTGTAAAATCACAGACTTGATACAGCGACTACTTACTTTGCTTTGCCCACAACCGTTGAAGAGACACGAGTGCTTGCAAGTGGCTTCCATCATGGCTTTTATATATCAATCTTTGATCTGCAGTCAGCTATCTTTCAGTGTGTCTAGCACAAAAACGCCGTTGAATCACAGACGTCCAGAACTGCCGTCGTACGTCTCGACATCCATTTGTCCTCACTAGTAACATCACTATGGTATTACACTGCAGCAAACATGATAGCAAATACATTTACTGAGACATTGACGGAGAATCATTGAGCGTTGAATCAGTTCAAAATGAGATGAAAAGCATTTTATAGGAAAACCTTCATGTCTTCTATATTCCAATGGAGACATTTAACTTATTGGCGTACTGGCGAAAAAATACTGGTATTGTAACAGCTACCGGTTTTTAACAAAGGATCTTCAGTTTTAATCGTACTTTGTAGTGTCTAGGTTATATTATAAGTTTGCACCATCAACTTTTCGCATGTGGAAGATACTAAGCATGCAACCTTTAGCGTCGTTTTATATGCTGTATGATATTTCATAGGAGCAAATAACCTGTACGAATATTGTACCGCACTTATTCATTCATACACTTGCAATACAATAGAACTGTCCACCATGTTGACGAAACCTGTGCGTATACTAAGCGAACGCATTATGAGCCGCGGCTTTGAGCCTACAGTCGTGCGCCTGATGGAAAATGTAAGTATGATTCTCTTGTTGAGGTATTGTAAGTCTTGTGGTGTTCTAAGTATTTGTTTATTGCAATAGGTGCAAAAGGTAGTGCGAGCGCAGCCTGGACTGATTTCATTGGAGTCACTGAGTGACGTAAACGACCACCACAAATACGTGATATTGTCAGAGGTGAGCTGATTACTAGAAGGTGGTGTAGTGCTAGTGACTACTGATAACAACGGGGTTCTTGGTGTTCTGTTTCTTACTGTTGTCTCTTGCAGTGGAAATCACTCAAAGATTACAAGGCGTGGACAGCAAGTGATGCTTACAAGGAATGCACAGAACAAATCAATGAAGTACTGGATGTGCCTGGCAAGAGGACAACCATTTACAAGCAGCCAAAGGATGACATTTTTCTTTTGTAAACGAGTGTTTCCAAGTGTGATGCTAGAGTGCAATGGAAAAAGTGTATGTTACAAGCGACAAACAATCTGGAGCGTTCAAAGCCTTAATAATTAATAACATCTCTGACTGATTCTGTTGCAAGATAATTAATTAAAAGTCTTTGTCTGCTTAAATGGATGAAATAGGCTTTGTTCATGTATACTAGGATAAATGTATGATCAATCGCTGTGTAGAGAGCGTCTGTATATATTAGATTATGCCACTCTACTTGTTGTTAATACATACACTTGTATACACTTGTATACCAGTCATCAAATATATCAATACGAAATTGTTTATCCCAAAAATAGCAAAATAACGTTGTTATCGGCTTCTGCTTTTTATAAAATTAGTCTGTTTTTCTCGATTGTATTTCTACCAATCATAGTCAACCTATCACTTCTATTTCTTCCAATCTCTCTCTCGCCGACTTAGCGTGACGACGACCGTAGTCGACAGCAGAAGAAGGAAGTGTGGGCAAGGAAGGTTACGACTGTGTGTAAGAAGTGATCGATACAATACGATCGATACATACAATACCATTTTTCTTTCTTCATTTGAAATGGAATCTGGATTAGAATTGGAAGAAAAGCCGAAAGTCGCTTGTGATTTTGTCTCTCTTGACGTCAGTCCTAGAGACGTTGATCCGTTTGATAAACGCATGAATCGATCAACAACTGCATCAATCTCTAGCAGTACATACTTGGATTTGGGTGATATTACACGGTACCAAGATTTAGCAGATGAGACGAAAACGCCAGCTGCTCCATTATCGATTGACGAAGAGGAGCATCTTGCTGCACGAGTACAGACAGTTCAGTCGGCGTCAAATGTGCTGGTATTAGCCTCACGAATGCGTGGCAATGATAATTTATCGGCGTCGGTACCGATGAGGCGCTATAATAGTTCACAAAGTGTGATACAGGCAAGTAAGGAGCGAAAGCGAAGTGTTGGTGCTACTTCGACCAGTGCTGCATCAATGATGAGAGCCGCTAAATCAGATTCAGGAGAAAAACGCACAGGTTTTGCTAGGATATATTTCGAGAATAAGAGCTTTACGTCGTCTACAGTGTTCAAGTTGCTGAGCAGCACGACGGTGCTTGAGGTGAGGAAGTCTATGGCGGCGAAGATTAAGATTCCAGTGCAGAGTTTCAACAATTACGCTATTATAGTGGTATTTCCGACGGATAATTCGGGATCGTTGTCAGCGAGGACGTTGAGGGACGAGGAGCTTATTTTGCCTCTGGTGGAGAGACTAAATCGTACACGACCTGTGCAGACAGTTGAAGCAGATGATACGATTGGTGGCACTACGCGCACTAAGCCGAGACATCGCTCAAGACCGCCAGTGAAGTTTGTTCTGAAGGTAGGAAGTGACGACTTGAGTGTTAGGCATTTTACTATATGTGATTTACTAAATATGCGTTTTGGGGCGTTTTTAATAAGCAGGACGTTCAAGGTTCTAATTTGAATATTAGTGAAAGTCCTGCACCACCAAGGCGTCATGGGTCCGACGCTCAGTCGATTAATTTTCCGGTATTATTAGGAAAGGTGAGTGATGTGCTTATGGTAATGATTGCAGAAAAGTATGGTTTGAGCTGATTTATTACTTGCAGGGTGTATACTCAGGTTATCTTCAAAAAGCAAGTTCTAGCAATCCAAACCTGTGGAGAAAGCGGTGGTTTATCATCAAGGGAGACCAACTGCTTTACTGCAAGTCGAACGTGAATCAACAAGATGTGACATCAATTAGTTTACTAGGTGCAATCCTTGCGAAGGCTAAGCCTGAAGTGGTACGTGGTCACATTCATTTTTCATTCTGCTTTCTGTTGATTTTGATCTGGTGAATAAACGTTATGTTGGATTTATTCAGCGCGTTCCATTCTCATTCCAGCTCAAGACACCTCGGCGAGATTATGAGGTAAGCACGAGTTTTGCATTGACAATTGAGTGCTGCTATAAGATGCTAATGTTACATTGTGTGGTTGCTGTGGAACGATGTGTAGCTTTGTGCCGGTAGTAAAGATGAGATGGTGGCTTGGATTCATGCACTCCACGTCCAGATTGGTCTATGTTCTGAAAATCACCGTTTATATGAAGCCGAAATCTGGATCACAGAAGACGTAAGTATGTGCAGTTTTTGATTCTTAGCTGTAAATGTCTGATGATAATGATGACTGCAGGCTGTAATGAGAAGTGAGCTGGAACCGTTACCGACAATGACTGAGCCATCTCTACTGGAACGTGTGCTTTCACGAGAAGATTCTCTGAAGCTTTTTCGCGATTTTGTTTTCACGACGCAATACCAAAATTTGTTGGACACATGGATTGAGTGTGAGCTCTTTCGACGAAGCTGTATTGCTCGAGAGAATGGACTTGTAGGTGGTGCAGGAATGGCAGGCAATCGACGGACAGTGCAAGACGAATGGAATCATTTGAAGGCAATTTTTCGCGCAATCCAGCTGCTGAATATTGTACATGTTGATGAGTTGAATCAGCTTTGGCAATCTTATCAAACAGAGCAGAAAACTAATCGTCGCCTAAGTGTCGCGTTAAACAACGACAAGTACGAGGAATATCCGCGGACGGATGTCATTGTGCCAGTGCAACTGAAGCTCTTTAAGGCAATTGAGGCGGGACCATTTCAACAATTTCTCTTGCAAAATGGGTACCGGCTTTTGTTGGAGCGCATTATTGGGGCAATTGCATAAAATTTGAGCAAAACAATAGGTACAAAACACATATTTGAACGATACCATTTTACAAAAAGGAAGCAAAAATTGATCATACAGGAGATCATTTTTCATGCATTTGAAACATGCGCACGTGCGTAATTCCTACTTTTAGTGGCTAAACCTCTATAAAATAATATCACACTTCCTTTTTGTGTATTGATGACAATAATATTGTATGAAGAGCTTAAACTGCTTTAGTGGACGTGCGAACGTCGAGATGGAGTCGGAACTAGAGGCAGCATCCAAGTTGGTCGAACGTGCATTTATCCGTATTCAAAAGTCAGAAAGAAAAGCTAAACACGTGCAACAGGCTATCAAAGACACGCGCAAGGACAAGATAGAAGAGATGGTGACGCATTTGCAGTGGCTTTTGGAGCACAAGAAGCAATTGGAACAAGATCTTGATGTCTTGGACAAGAAATTGAAGGAAAAGCGAATGAGGATCAAGGAAAGAACAGGGTGATGGTCATACATTGCTCTTAGCAGTGAGTATAATGGCCGAATGTATCAATCCCTCTTATTGTATTATTGCAAGAAGTTATTGTCATTATTCGGTTTAGAAAAAAATTGGAGGAATGTCGTACTATATACAATAACAATACAAAGTGTGTTGGCTCTGATAAAGTAAGAACAAGTACAATACTACCGTAAAGTAACACAATGATAATAATATATGGCTCATATTGTCTCGCCAATTCCTTGTGGCGGTAAGTTGTGCGCCGAAAACAATGATCTTGAGAATATCACGATCGTTAAACAATAAGCGGACACGCACGGACATTAAAACTTTGCACTCTCCAGTTCCTAGAGCTTGATAAAGTCTGCTTGAGACTTGGCAATTGTACTGTCGTCCGAGACACACGAACCCGGCGCAAAAATCTCGCTAAAATTGACTTTGCTCAGTAGGATGGATGAAGTGTCGTAGGATCCAGTATAGCCATAACTTGAGACGGAAAAGTTGCCATAACTTGAGACGGAAGAGTTGCCATAACTTATGATGGACTCGTTGCCGTCACTCTCGTTCTTCTCGAGAACAGAGTTACTGAAAGCAGACGAATACTCCGAGTTGGTCGGATTCATGACTGCAGTGGATGATCGTCGACTGGAAATGTCACTGGCACTGCTTGGTCGTGGGAGCTCGGGAATATAATCATCATGTCGTGCAACCTCCGAGTCAGACGCCGTGACGGAAGAAGATGTTGAGATACGAGTATTGCCAGATATTACTGCTAGTTCGGGAATAGTCGAGTTAGACACGCGTGGTTGATCCCCTTTTGGAAAAGGAGACAATGCAGACACATTGGACACTGCCCGTGCTGTTCCAAAGTATTCACTTGTATTGGGCTCGTATAACTTTTCCAAACGAGCTTGCTCATCGAGCTTTTTCTTCCGATGTATGACCACAAGAGCCACGAGGATACAAAGAGCAAGAAACGTCATAATACTTGCAGCTGCGACCAAGGTACCACCGCCTTCTGAAGAAGAAGTAGAAATCGTCTGGATCGCGCCTGGAGAGGAGTTGGTACTTGGGGGTTTTGTTGCTGCCTTGCTGGTTTCAGTATCAGGTGCTTGCACCTTACCGATCACATCAGTTTGGTTTGCGCTATTGTCATCCTCAATGAATGATTCATACAAACCGGAGCTTGACGACGATCTATTTGAACAGCAAGAACCCTGGAAACAAAAGCTGCCAATAAGTCCTGCATGATCGGACGTGTAGCAACCGTCATAGCTAATGCGCGAAATCTCTGACTTGAGGTAGCAAGCGTCTTGGTTCTGAGTACGAAACAGTGTAAAGTCATACTTGACAGAGCAAGTTGCTGACAACATATCACCGCAGAATGTGCCTTCATCGGATGGATCTTCCATGTCGTTGTTGAACATGATTTGCATGGCCGAGTAGCTCTTGAGCGCATTAAAGTCTCCCATCAAGACAATCAAATTATCAGTGGCATCACAGTTGGTTTTGATACGATCAAGTATAATGTTTGAGCCATGTGTCTGTGCTTCATCGTTGCCTGGAGTCTCATAGTGCGTGTTTAAGACACAAATCGTAGCTCTTGTGACAATATGCTGAAAACGACCCCAGACACACGTACGATAGTATGCCATTCCCCATCCAGCAGACATGGTATTTGGGTCAGGTCCAAGCCAGAACATACCGTTCGTAAGCGGTGTCCACGTATCGGATCGGTAATACATTGCGTTCCATTCCGCCGCGTTTCCATTCAGAGATCCTGTGCTTTCTCCAATCACGGCATACATTCCTGCTAATTGTGCATCTAAGAAAGCTTTCTGAGCATCCGATGTCTCTTGTGTCCCAACAAAATCAGCGGCCACGGTTTTAATATTATTAAGGACATTCTCCTTGCGAATGCCGTTCCAATTACTGCATAGGGATCCAGCATCGGTCGAAGCCAATGATGTACGAACATTAAACGACATTAATTGTACTTGGACATCGTCCACGTCATTACCACGAACAAAAGCTCGAGCCATTAAATAGATGGAAGCAAATAGCACGACCTTGAGCATCCTACTCTTGTGACACATGAATGAGTGAATAAAGGATTACGGATCAAGGGCTGGACAGCCTTTTACAATAGCGCCAACCCTATTGTTATAGATGACTCTCGCTGTCTCTCTCTCTGTAGTTTTACTCCTTCTTCTCCTATAAGACAGTCAAGATGGAGGTAAAAACAGGAATGGAAACCGCTTGAATACATTCAAATGACAGATGGACAGACTAGACAAGACTTGAATTGGCATTAAACGGGCCAACAAAAGACTAAAATCTCATCTAGGACAAAAAACATGGTAGAGAGACGGGAGAGTCAAGTATACTAGTTTCAATAGCTTTGGCTCGTGGCATCCTGTTATTCCATTACATACACAAAAACCTAGCTGAATATATCCAGTTTATGCTTAGTATATGTATATATATTTGTATGGTGGTTCCGTCAAGGTTTTCTATATTGTTACTTTATAGTTTAAAAGTAAACTTACTTCATAGAGTGTCCGATCAGAGTCTTTGAACAAGAGGACATACAGTTGCGAACCCTACGCCCTTATCATACGTACCAGCTGGTTTTAACGCGCGCAATTGTTGACTAAGTACGTTTGTATACCAGAATGGGGAGACGCAGGGTCAGTTAGTTAGCAGTTGTTCTTGGATTGAATGTAAGCATGTCAACATGTCCGTTTGAAATAATAGTCAACTGTTGAAATAACGGATGCAGTGTTTTGCTTACATGTAAACTGCAATCAAAATGAAGACCCTAGCGATATTGTAAAATTGCGACATTTCTTCCAAGACTGTAATCGGATAAGATAAGTTTTTGTAGTATCAAAAAGCAGATGCACGGAACATGCAGGGAAAATGCGAGGTGCAAGCGCATGTTCACCCATGACCATGGCTTGGCTATGTATCATCGGATCAGGTCATGTTAGGTTAGTTTTGAAGGATGAAGGGACAATGACCTCTTCATACTCTGAAATGTAAAGCGCTATCTACTTATTTGATCAGCCTTATTATTGAAACAAAGCATGGCAAAGTGAAATGACTGACACCCTTTAATGAACTTGTCAAAGTAGTTGCCTCTGGTATCATTTTTTTTGATCGAAAGCGTTTGGCGACGAACAATTGCCGACCACTTAGGTCTCGTGTTGCATACGTGCAAATTGTGTGGTGCGTCAGTGTTTTTGCTGTGTGTTTGCATGCTGCTCTCTCATCTATAGAGATCACCACGTACCGACATGTTCAGACATTGCCTGCAGAAAGTCAGCGCAATTGACAATCTCGTCGACTCACTTTCCACGCCGATGTATGTTGGTAGCACGAAAATACCAGACGTCTGAAAGCACCTACGAATGTGCACGTTCGAATGTTGCATGCTCTATTTAGTAGCATTGCATTTAGCATTGCATTTATCTAGCTAGGTTCTGTGCAATCATACATTGAGGGCGATGTTCAATTCGAGAGATGTGATCAGAAAAAGCTACAGACAACTGAAAAATCGTGTCCCTTCATGATCGAGTCCAATCAAACTGTAGACGATGTTACAATATCGCGAATCAGCAGCAATACGAACAGATGGACCCACAAAAAGTTACCAAGCTTTACTACTTGATGGAAACAATGCGGTCGCGTGGCTTACAGATTGAAACATTTCCTGCGGTGTTTGTAGCTGCTGGAAGTCATTGTTGATTTCAAATCATCATTTGGTCGAATCTTGCTGAATGTCCAAACTGCGGAGCAATTTTGAGCGTCCACTGCCGATGCGGCCGGCACTTCCAAGTGTGATGTCACCATTTGGAGGGAGAGGCGGACCAAACAACGGCGACCTGTTTGCAAAGAGTGAGCTGGTACCGAAACCACTACTGGCAGTTGAAACAGACGAGGCTGGTTCGCCACTGGTTTGGAGGCGGTCAAACGCAGCTCGTGTCTCAAACGGTCTGGCATCAGCGGGCGAAAATCCTGGTGGAGCTTTGGCAGTTGTCGGCGAAGCTTTTGTAGTGGGTGTTGTTGGTGGCGCTTTCACCGGCAATGGAATCGATGGAGCCGAAAACCCATCCAGATAGCCCCGTGCTCCCGTCCGAATGAAATTGTCGGGTTCATCGCATCGGTTTTCACGGGCCCTTGGACTCACGAAATCGTGAACTAACGATTTGAAGGACAAGGCGTCGTTCCCCCATTCTTGTAAGCCCGAGAACTTTCCCGAGAACGCTGGTGGGGAGTCATTTTTCAAATTATCTTTCTCGTTTTCAGCACGCCATCGAGCAGACAAAGACCTGAAAGCTTCAAACGGAGTTTCCTTTTCCTTCGGTGGCGACGTAGTGACGGGTCCAGACCTCACGCTACGATCGTACGGACTGCCAGAGACATTAACCGACAACTTCATAGGTTTTACGATGCGGCTAGACCCTCTGACATCGGTTTGAACAGTAGCTTTATGGGAGAATGACGCCATGTTGAGCAAACCTTTTGGCAGCTTTTCCTTTGAAGAGTGGTCGCTTTTCTCGCTATTGTATTTGAAGAAATCTCGTCCTGAAGCGGTTGCTGACTGGGTTGCGTTCTTTACTGGAAGCACGCCATCCGTTTTACCTGCTTTCTTCACAACTTCATGTTCAACGCTCTGCGATTTTGCCATTACCGGCGTAGACGCCGCGTCAGACGCTGAAATTCGGTCGCATGTTGGCGAGACTGTTTTGCTATTGCTTGCATTCGCTTTTGTGGTCGTTTTTCCATTCAAGCTGTTTTTTTTTACTTCATCGTTCTTGCCTAGCCGGTCGTTTTGTGTCGATTGATTGCGCAAAGTAGTTTGCATTTCCTTGCGTCGACGTTCCAATAGTTCTGCTACTGCAGGCAACACCACACGAGCTGCTGGAGCAGAAGATGCTTGCTCCATATCTGCCAACTTACGATTGATAGAAGCAAGAGTATGCTGTGGTATTGGACTGCTCTCGTTACCCAAGGCGGTCGCTGACGATTCTTCATGGTTACCACGTGCTGACACTTTGATCACCTTTGTGTTAGACTTGTCAACATAAACGTCGAATTGTACAGACTGTTTTTCATCCTCGGAAGTCCACGCGTCGCGAGTCAGAAGGAAAATACTGTAACATATGGCAATTATAGCAATCACTACTGCTAGCAACCACAATGCGAGGAACGCAAACCGCATGGAAGGCGACATCCGAGAATGCCAGCATGTGAAGGCAGCATCGGCGGCGATCGTGCCTTCGAGCCGCACACGACTCACAGTATCGCTCGTATCGATGCTAAGCCATCTCGTTAAATCAACTGCAAAACAACTAGCGTGGAAAGACACTCGAACCGTGGTAGCTTCGCCAGGAGCAAGCACTACTTTAAAATCGTCCCTGGCGCCTGATGTTACAACAAAATCATTTTTCGGTGATGAGCCTGATATCCATGTTAACTGCGTCCACAAATCATGGCCATCTTGTTCCGCTCTCACATTCAAAATAGTCAATGCAAATGGACCCGTATTTGAAAGCACAAGATCAGCGACTTGTGTAAAATCTGTTAGTGCATCATGCGTAGTTAGAGCAAAACTCAACGTCCCATCAAATTCGGCCGGCCCATTTTGCTGTGTAGCTTTTTCATCCTTATTCACAGCAGCGAACTCGCGAGCTGTGTAGTAAGACGGCACAGATTTGTAATCAGTTGAAGCGTCCACCGATATGTCTAATGTTCCTTTGCCACTTCGTGCAAGCAAGGATACAGGCTCAATGTGAGTGAGTTCATTGCGCACAAAGACTCTTGTGCTCACTTCTTGAACTTTCGAGGGCAAGTAAAAAATAGGCCCAAGCTGTGCTTCCTTTCCAGCAGAAACCTCAATAACCTTTTCCTCATAATAAAACGAAGGCAGATCGACCTCTTGCTGGCTGCGCTGTTGAGCTCCGTTTGCTACCGCTGTCTTCCACTCTACCAAGCACAATTCGGTAATGTGGTCGGGGTCGCCGGATTTCACGTCACTTTTGGTATCCATGACTTCGTGCATAAACTCTTCTTCACACCTGTAAAAGAGGTGGCGGTCGGCTTCTGCAACTGTTAACTCCATGCTAATTGAAAAGTTACTTGGATTCCGCACGTGCACAAAGATATGACTCAGCTCAAAAACTTCCGTCAGAGCAAATTCTATGTGTCCAAGTATCTTCTGAGATCCGTTATTAGGACTTAACGTCATTTCAGCAGGTGCAGTCACCATAGGACGCTTAAGAAAAGCCTTGACCGTGACTTCAGCAACATCTTCCATAATATCAGTTTGTAAACGCACTTGGGCTTCCATGGTCGAATAGGTCGAGGTTGTTGCTCGTTCAGCCCAATACTTATCTCGGCGGCGCAGAGCTTCCAAGTCCTGCTTATCCACAAACTCTCCGTAGTCTGAAAGTAGATAGCATTTTTGTTCTTCAGTAGGATCTGAATATGAAAGCCAACATTCCGTGAGGAACAATGCACCGACGCAACCAATGCCTTCCCATGGGGAAAAAATCAGATCCATTACACTTTCGACCTGTCTGGGCATCATGCTTTCTGTTATCGACACGACGTAAAGTTTTGGATTGCTGACAGTAGCAACCAAATCCGTAACTATATGGTCAAACGTGTTGCGATACTGTAGGTGAACACGTTCCATGCGACCAGGAAACGTTGCCGGTAATATAACTGTTGATGTAACCGGTTCAATAATGCCTTGAACACTCACGAAACGCGCATACAGGTGTAGAACTTCTGACTGCGTCCTGATCGACATGACTGGAACTGTAACTTCTCCGAATACGTCCTTCGCCTTAACTTTTATACGAAAAACTACACGGTAGCCAGGCTGGAGAACAAAACTCGTCCCGGCAAAAATAACATGAGAGCTGTCGTTCCATCTATCACCAGCTCCTGTTGCTCCAGTTCTATACGGAAAATATGAAAACAGTTTCGCTTCGGATATCTCGGCTGCAATTGATACATCCACAGAAGCATTCTTGCAAACCTCTGTTATTGAGAGCGTCTGTGGCACTGGATTTTCGTTGACTGCTTCCACCATTTCCACACGAGCCTCATGTGACGCAACTTTATCAAAGTCGAATAACAGCGACCGACATACAGGAACAGCACTGGTGTCTGCTAAAACTCTTCCGCCATCTACCGCTGCCACAATGCTATCTTTTGGCACCAGTAAACATGACCGCATCGACTCTTCTTCTCGTTGTAAATTGTTGCTGTTGCCGAAAACGCAGTAATTCTGGAGCCCTCTTGTAGAATTCAGAGTGAGGAAGCCAAAATACACGTATATTGGAATTCGGTGAAGTGTTGCATTCGTCTCAACCATTAATGAATACGACCGGGGCTTCGATAGTTTGCCTTGGATTTCAAATGATAGTGTAATCTGAAATGATATTGTCGGCAAGCTTGCCCCAATAGAAACAACGCCCTGCTCAAAGTTTTGTACAATCACTTCCTGGATATCGCCATTTTCGAGCATAACGTCATCCATCCATACACGTTGTAGTTCCACAGGGCAATCAAATCGATTCCACAGACGAATCGTTCTTACCTGACTGGTGCCAGCTAGTAAGGCTATTGAATTGTTCTCATTAATAATTGACACAAAATTAGCACTCGATCGCTCTTGCACGTTCGCAATTCGCTCGGACCCCTTTTCTTCTATGACACTAGCGTGATCAATCAACTCACGTTTGAGAGGCACCACAACTCCCACTAATGTCTCGTTTAGCTGAAAAGCTAAATGGCCCTTAACAACTTGGCCATACAATCGCAGTTTTTGCTGCCTTAATTCTGGGCTAGATGCATTAGTCTTCAACAGCACCGCCGCAACGCAGCTACCACCATTGATATCTCTATTGACACGAAGCTGCACTGCCAGTGCATGATGTGCCCGTGTTTGTGGTGGAATAACTGCTGATCCTCGCAGTTGCGCTGCAACAATCAGCTTACTTTTCAAAACTTTGACCTCCACAATTTCAAGCGGAATCAAACCAGCATTATACAAGGAAAAAAACAGCTCACGACCTTGGTGCAAATCAGTCAACACCCCAAGATCTACTTCCTCTGGCTCCATATGGATTCCAGGTTTCAAAACAGTGATGCATACAGGTACTGACAGTAAACGTCGATCATTGGCAACAATATGAACATATGATAAATGTACACCGGGTGTGTCCAATTTCACTGCCACTATTATCAGCGGACTGGTTGTTTCAGCAGGCACATCCCATTCACCACGATCAACTCTTTTATAATTCTCAAGAGTTTTTGCATCTTGTCCAGCAACTTTGTTGTCAATGTACGCTGTCTTTTTTCCACGTTTTTGTAGTGAACGTAGACCAAACGTCCGGTCGCTATCATTGACTAAGTGTAGATTAACAAAACTGTCTCGTGCGTATATTTCTGTAATTCGAATCGTCGCATTCATCGGGTTTTTCAACCGTACCAAGTGTTCCAACGTTTCTCCAGCTAAAATTGAACCACGAATCATACTCACATCATACGGATTGACCACTACCTTTGCAATACGAATAGGTAATGAAAAAAGACCCGATGATGTCAAGAGTCTCAAATACGCGTCCATACCGTCTCGTTCCACTTGACGTGGTAGAAATACAATTTGCACATGAAATCGATCTCCCGGGTCCAGTCGAATTCCTCGAATATCAGTTGCCAATGAAAATCCTTCCATTGTAAAATCAGCACGATCAAGTGTTACAGACACACGTCCTCGATTCTCAACTCCAACATAATATCGTTCATGTATACACGTCTCCAATTGTCCAAGAAATACTCGTTTGGGTATAAATTGAATGGCTTGGTCATCTACTGGAGCACCTGGTGCAATATCTGTTTTGACAGGTAAACTACGTGTAATAGACAGGACATCACGATAGCGTCGTCCAGTTCCAAATGACGCTGCCATGTCATTATTGTCCATAGAAAATACAGGACTCTCCTGAAGTAACAACTTGGAATGGGTCCATTCTTCTTGACGTGCTAGTGACGTCGTGGATACGTCCCCTTCTGCTGGAAGTAGTGGACATAGAAACAAAAGAATAAGAAACACACTACTTAACGAATACAAAGAGCTTGTAATTGCGTCACGGAGTCGTCGTCTGCTCGAAGGAATGATGATGGCGGTGCGTGAAGTAGCCATACTGGTACCACGAGTCTCGTTTTTTGAAATGTGAGGGCATATGCTATTTCATAGGATAGTTGATGTGGGGTTGGGGTTTTCTGTTTGAGTCGCAGATCGATCAGGTGGAGGGAATACCGGTATTCTAACCCCAGAGGAAAGGGTGCAATTAAAACATTACAGCGACCTTATGTCCAATTGTGTAAATGATCAAGAGACTGTTTGTTGACCAAGGTGAAAGAGTGAGAATGTATAAAGCTACAGAAGGTTCTTGTCATATGAAAGAGAAAGTGAAATGACTCGGAAGCGAGACTGCAATACTTTTGCCTAGATACAAATTCATGTTGCAATTTCAGCTTCATTCAATTACTGAGGGGCAAGAAAAATCACAGCGTCAAAAAAAAAAAGCACGCAACGATTTTCTCTTCCTTCAGCTCATCTGAAGTAGCTAAAAATGACGTGTCCGTCAGCGTATCTAAACGACCTCTTTCCAACAATACACACGCAGTCGCAGGCGCCAGTATTCAGCGGGCGCGACTGATCACACGCGCATCGCATTGTCGGCCAACGAGCGGTTTGCCGACCAATAATTTACCGGTACTGTACAAGTCACACAGCACGCGATTCGATCAGTCTTTCATTTACATGACAACAATAACAACAGCAGTATGTTATCATGTACCTTGACAAAGCCAATGTCCGTGGCGCGCTCACGGAAACAACGGCGGCACATGTTCAGATGATACTTGCGAATCAGACCACGGGTCGTCTTGCAAACGCGGCAATGACGCGAGTCTTTGCCATAGGTGCGGGGGTGAGAGTACGTGAGGTTCGCCATGGTTGCAGACTGCAAGGAGACACACAATAACAACAACAGTATCAGTCCTTGCATCCATTGTTTTATGCACTTGATGATGGCAAGCAGGTCGTTTAGGGGCTCAAGGTTAAGCAATTGCCTCGGACCTCATTGCAATGGATTTCCAGCGCTATGCTGCATCCTGCATTTTTAGTGGTTGCTATTGCGGTGCAATTGTAATGCCATATCTTCCCATTAACCTGCCTGTCATCCTGTCTCATCCCGACTAGATAGGGAGAGACGTGAATAACGTACCTTCTTCTTGGATAGCTTTGGACAGTAGCAAATAAAGGCGTTCACGGCGGCTTCTCAAAATTACCGTGCACACCAACCATTGCTTCGGGAACCACTCATCTATAGGTGTGACTTTACACCAATCAGCACAGTCAATGAAACCTCATTTCAACAAATCAGCTTTGGTCGTACCTTTTCCTACACATCGCAAGTTGACCTATTCAGCATTTATACATTGATAAAAACGTATTTAGCAAGATTTAAACCCATAATTAGCATGCTAATTGCAATAGTGTTTGAAAAAACGGATTAAAATCAACTGTTATTACGCTGATACAGCATCGCTCCTGCTACAGATTCGATCTTTCAGAATTAAATATCGACATGAATTAGTAATTCCCCCTTCCATTTAGGTCTTTATTCCATCCTAAAAGAATGCTTTACTTTTCTACCTATTCGTTCGACTCCGCATAAATAGATCCTTTTTGCTGGTAAAAAGCCACTTTTGTACGTAATTACCCCCTCCCTCAATCCTAAACCAACGTCCTAAATCCTATACTTGACACGTCACGCACCGTGCAACGTGTCGAGCGCTCAGACAAACAAATAGATAGCGACAAAAGGGAAAAGTCACGAGCCAAGTGTCAAGCTGGTTCTTTCATTTCCAAATGGTGACGAAATCCAAGTCCAAAAAAATCCCTCTGTCTTCATCTGAAGAATTCGAGCAGCATGCGACATCATCATCCGTCCTAGGACAGGATTCAATCCAACAAATGGACCAAATGGATGCTAAAAAAAAGCGTCTTGTGTTTGGTGTAGATCTAGACAATCCACAAGATCCAGAAGACGATGAGAATGCATTAGCACCAGTAGCCAAGTACGCGATCTTGGCCATGATATGTCTCATGTCCTTTTCCATTCGTCTCTTTGCTGTTGTTCGCTATGAATCTGTACGTATTCTGAGACTGAATAACAAGGTTAGAATTTAATCTCATAGTTGTAGTACATTTGATGGATATATGTATTCTGACAGGTTATCCATGAATTTGACCCCTATTTTAATTTTCGAACGACAAAATACTTGGCCTCGGAAGGATTTTTGGAATTCCTGGACTGGTTTGATGATCGTGCGTGGTATCCACTGGGCCGTATTATTGGTGGCACAATCTATCCTGGTCTCATGTATACGGCTGCACTTTTGTATTGGGTACTGAATCTACTCAATATATCCATTAATGTACGCAATACGTGTGTCTTTCTAGCACCGTTGTTTGCAGCCAATACTGCAATTGCTAGCTATTTGTTGACCAAGGAAGTGACCAAGCGTTCCAGTGCAGGGCTTTTGGCTGCTGCTTTTGTAGGCATTGTGCCTTCTTATATCTCTCGTTCAGTTGGTGGATCCTATGACAATGAAGGTGTTGCCATCTTTGCACTGATCTTTGTGTTCTACTTGTGGATTAAATCCGTCCACACGGGATCCATGTTTTGGTCGGCTGCATGCGCCCTTGCGTATTTCTACATGGTGGCAGCCTGGGGTGGTTATGTTTTCATTATCAACATGATTCCTATCTACGTGCTCGTGATGATCTTTGCAGGTCGATATACTCCTCGCATTTACATTGCTTACTCTACGTTCTACACACTGGGGAGCATCATGGCTATGCAGGTACCGTTTGTGGGCTTTAACGTCATTAGACAAGCTGAATGCGCAGGCTCGCATGGTGTCTTTGTACTGTTGCAAGTATATTGTTTCGCCAACTGGTTGCGTAACTACATCTCGGCCTCGTCGTTTCGACGTCTTGTGCTAGTGGGTGCCAGCCTTCTCGTATTCATTTTCGCGCTCGCTCTGGTGGTTTTGCAGCTTATGGGCAAGGTTCAGTGGACTGGACGCAGTCTGACTCTGCTGGACCCTACCTACGCGTCCAAGTATATCCCGATTATTGCTTCAGTGAGTGAGCACCAGCCTACGGCGTGGACGTCCTACTTCATGGACCTACACATTCTGGTGCCTTTTGCACCGGTGGGTCTCTACTTCCTTTTCCAGAACCTCACTGACGGCGGCATTTTTGTCATTTTGTACGGCACGGTAGCGTGGTATTTTGCTGGTGTTATGGTGCGCCTTATGCTCACGTTAGCGCCCATTGCTTGCATCCTGGGTGCTGTGGGTATTTCATCGACGCTGCGCAAGTTCATGGGTATTCTGGCTCGTCCGTCGACGTATGTTGTGCAGAGCAATGGCGTGCAGCCTGTGCCGAAGATCCTAGCTCTGGGTGTTGTGAGTGGTCTGCTGCTTGTATTGCTGAGCTACTCAAGGCATGCTGCGTCCGTGTCTTCGATGGCGTACTCTTCACCGAGCATTGTGATCGAGGCTGGCCGTACGCAGACAGGCGAGCGCGTTATTTTTGATGACTACCGTGAGGCGTACTTTTGGCTTCGCCAGAACACAGACGCTAATGCCAAGATCATGTCATGGTGGGACTACGGTTATCAGATGTCAGCTATGGCAAATCGCACGGTCATCGTGGATAACAACACATGGAACAATACACACATTGCTACGGTGGGCCGGGCTCTGGCCTCTACCGAGGAGGACGCGTATCCGATTCTACAAAGTCTTGATGTGGACTACGTTTTGGTTATCTTTGGCGGTGCGACGGGCTACGGCTCAGACGACATTAACAAGTTCCTGTGGCCTGTGCGTATCGGCTCTGGCGTGTATCCTAATGACATGCCCTCGGAGCGCGACTTTTACTCAGCCTCGGGCACCTTTGACATTGGTCCAGGCGGCTCGAAGGTGCTGCACAATTGCCTTGCCTACAAGCTTTGCTACTACCGCTTTGGTGAGGTGATGGCGGACTACCAACACCCTCCAGGATTTGATCGTGTTCGTAACACAGAGGTGGGTGTCAAAAATATAAAGCTGACGCACATGGAAGAAGCTTTTACGTCTGAGCACTGGATTGTGCGTATCTTCAAGGTAAAGAAACAGCCAAACGTAGATCCTACGACTGCTGTCAAGGCTGCGCGTTTATCCGCAGCTGCGAGTGTAGAGAAGGATATCTCTCAGGAGAAAACGGCCTTCCTTGGTTGTGTCACGGGTGAGAACATGTTGGGTACTGACCGCGTGTACGCCGGCGGTGCTAGCGGGGCCAACTTCAACCTTGTCCTTCACCACGCTAAGGAGAAGGGTAAGCGCTACTTTGCCGTTGCGCGCGTGGCTGGCGAAGGCCACGCCTTTGCGTTCAACAAGCTTCCGATGAATGGAGTTGAATGGGACGGCAACGATGATGGTTGCATGCGTCCGTGCATGGACTCGAAATCACACTCATGTGGCTGTGCTGACGCGGGTTGCACGGACATGAACGTGGGCCCTGGCAAGGGCCAGGAGCATAACCGCCGCTGGGCCGTCTACGAGCGCGTAACGAAGTAAAACCAATGTTCACTTACGCGCAGACGCCATCTGCGTTCGCTTATTCCATTGGTTGTATGTTGTTTCTTAGCTGTAGTTGGATTGATGCTGGTGTTGCATGGCGGCCAGTGGATGCATGATTTGGTCACAAGAAGTGTAAACGATCGAAGTCGAAATTGCTTGCAAAAAGCAACACAGATAATAATAAGCACACGCCTTCTCTTGGAGTTGAGCATATAACCGAGACCATGCGCTCACTAGTTGATTAATGTTGCTTGTCTACACCCGCGATACATTTGTGACAGATCCGCCACCATAAGAGCGCTTTTAGTTTTCATGAACACGCTGCATTCCTCCACTCAATCCATCTATGCAGATGACTTGCTCTCGCCGCTTGCCTGGCGAGCGGCCTCCTTCTCAGCTTCAATCTTATCGCAGAGTTCGTTCACCTTTTCATCTTCAAGTGGCTGTGCAACACGAAAATAAACATGTTTTGCATCGCGTTAGTCAACACGATAAACAAATGGTCGAGGAAGCGTCGCTTGCCCCTTGGAAAATGTGACAACGTACCGACACTTTGCCGCCCATTCTCACGACGACGATCTCAATATTCTTGCTGCCTGATTCAACAACCTCGAGCAATGCCTTGATAGCCAAAGACACGGCCTCTTCCTCGGTAGCATTCTCTACAAAGTTCTTTTCCAAAAATTCGCGAATATTGGTCGAGTTGCGGCCTGTGGCGTTGGCCTTCCAGGCCGAAAAGGTACCAGACGGGTCGGTTTGATACAGTTGGGGCACGCCTTCGTCATCACAGCCGGCAATCAGCATCGAAATACCAAACGGTCGGACGCCACCACGTTGCGTGTACTTTTGCTGGACACGCGCGACATAACGTGCAACGTACTCGACGGATGGTGCGTCCTCCACCGTAAGGCGATAGCTCTGGCACTCGAGTCGTGCTTTATTCACGAGTACACGAGCATCGGCTGTGAGTCCAGCAAAGGCAATTGAGATGTGATCATCTACTTTACAGATCTTGCGCACGGTACGTGGATCCTGTAGCTTGGCCGTCTCCTTGCGTTCAACAGCCAAGACGACTGAGTTCTTGCCACGCACGCCGACAACTACAGCACCCTATAAACAATCAAATACAACAACTTGCTTAGAAAAACAACAACAACAGACACACACACACATTTGGTCTTGTATACTAACAGTCGTATACACACATATGTACATATATAGTATACACTTGCCTTCTTTACGGCTTCCATAGCGTATTCCACCTGAAACAAATGGCCATCGGGTGAAAAGACGGTGATTGCGCGGTCGTATCTAGTAGATGAATGACGTAGCGTACAAACAAAAATAGCAATGTACAAGATAAGAGAGAGAGAGAGAAGACTGATGTAAGTACAGACAGCATAGAGAGTGTATTCATGTAACAACACACCTGGACATAGTGCTTCCTTCCTTATTGGATCAATAAAAGAGCACAGTGTCTTGAAATAGAGTGAAAGATCGAAGGGGGAGAGCTTTATTTCTAAATAAGGATGTTATTTAGAAACGATATCATGTTAGAAACGTCTTTATTTTGTGTGTCATTAATTTCAACCAATTAAAAAAAACGTCACTTATCCATGCATCATGAACTCTTCTTGGCGCTATTAGGTCATCCTAGTGACGTCATTGAACGTCGTAGTGATGGATTCTATATACGAAAAGAAGTGTCCTTCTTATCACAAGCACAATGTAGTTTATTGAATCGTCTATTGCGTTTAGGGTATGCCTTTGCAAGCTTAGATCAGTTTGTACGACAGGCGCCATGTCTTCCTAGTATGTATCTACATGCATTAGCACAAGCAATTGAGCGATTATTGCATCGGTATACTGATGCGATTGTAGAATTAGAGGCAAAGACGTTGCGGCATAGGGCTGTATTTCCCATGTCTAACCTTATCTATGAGCTTGAGGAGTTTATGGAAGTTCTGCCAGAGGTTTGTGAACTTGTGAAGAAATTGACAGAGACACTGGATCAGATGCAAGAGAATCAGGAGAGATGGAGTATGAAAGGAGCAGTAGTGATGAATATTGTGCATCGTAATACCCGCACTGGATTTCCAAGAGTGCAAAAGGCTATGCAAGAACTCTTGTACTTTTGTCATCGGTACGTGCGTGAGCTGCAAGGAAGGATCGCTTTGGTGGTATTTTTGGCTCTTATTGTGGATGATTATGGCCGTATTTGTAGAGTATTATTCAAACAAATGATGATGTGGATGGTGTATGGGGAGATTGTAGACCCGTATAAGGAGTTTTTCATCACGAAACTGGTGGACACTGCTAGATCGACTTTGGCATCAGAGGAGATGCTAGCACAAGATGAGAATGCGGTCATAGTGCTATGGCATCAGCAGTTTGCAATCGACTTGGAGGCTGTGCCGCTGGATTACTTTCCGACATCCGTGGCAGAAAGCGTGTTTGCGATTGGCAAAGCCGTGCATATTTTGACACGAAAGAATCAGTTTTCTCCACGCGAGGTGCAAGACATCATTGCCGTCATGTCTGCATTAGCGCAAAGCCCTGAGTTGGACGTTGTGGCAGTCCAACAAGAGGTGGAAAAGGTGCGCCGTCATGTAGCCAGGAGACTGCATGAAGAAGTGGTGGTGAAATCCGACTTTGTCGGATATCTGCGCGTGCTGAAAGGGTTCTTTCTGCTATCTCGCGGCGAAGTGTTTCAGACGTTTATCGAACGCAGTTTTGGTATGATGTTGGTCAAGCCAACAATTCAGTCGGAAGAGGATGTGAATCATGGCGTCTGGCGGGAAGTTGTGCGCGACTTGATATCAGAGGATGACCGCTGGGGTCAGGACTTTGAAATGCAGGTTCGTCGAATGCAAGTTTGGTAGTCTTGATGTAAAGTGGCTTTCTTATATGCAAATGTTATGTAGCTCCCGCTCCAAATGTTTGAGCTCGTAGATTTTTCGTCAAGTGCTGGTCTCATGCTTTTCAACGTATCACGAGGACCAAACGGCCAGTTTTTAGCAATCGACTCCGACACGGCACAGAACAAAGCACGACAAAATCTTGTAGAAAAACAGAGCAGCACTGTCTGGTGGCGTCACGCGCAGATAAATGGCTATTCTTTTTCGTCTGAGTTTTCTTTGCAATGGGAGCAAAATGCATTTTATTGTGGTAGCCATCGGGCAGCCCTTTTGCTCCGGAATGAAGGCCCGTTAGGCTCAGCTACATTATCCAATGGGTCTTTTGAGCTCGAAGACTCGCAAGCTGTCTATGTCAGCGTCGACCTTGCGATCGAGCACTTACCAGGCGACACGAACGGTATGCGTGTGATGGCTCAAGTAAAACCTTCACGCACAGATGAGACCGGCATCCAATCTTCACAAGAAACGGAAATCTCCATGGCTAATAGCAGCACGCCAGCACTCCGAGTTCGTGTCCAGTGTGCCCGTCAAGAAGCTACTCTAGCACCTTTGAAGCAGGTTATATACAAGAAAATGATGGCCGTAATTGTCAATGACGTGCTGGTGTTAGAGACACAAATTGATCTTCAGGAAGTCCTCAGTTTGCACTCCACATCCGGCGAATACTTTGTGGGGCTTGCATTTTCGTCACTCGTACGTCTTACCAGCTGGAGTTTGGACAAGTTCTCGGCTAAAACTAGTTGGCAGGAAGGCAGTATTACCAGTCTGAAGAAGAACAACAGTGCACTTACACCACGTGAATTGTGGAGTACCCTTCGTTTGCGTTGTACTGTACGATGGCCACTACAACTGCTCATCGGCCACGATCTGCTGCGCTCATATGGACACCTGTTCCAGTTCTGTTTTCGATTGAAACGTGTAGCGCATGCTCTTGAGCTGGCATGGAAGAGTAGCACGTTGCGTTCAAAGCACGCCACCAGAAAAGATACAGCATTTACTGCCGGTGCATTGCGAATTCGCATGAGCTTCGTTGTGCGCACGCTGGAGCTGTACTTTCAAGTTTTTGTGATAGAAAGCAAGTTTCAAACGTGCATCGAGCAAATTGAGTCTGCAGGTGATTTTGACCGCGCTAAACGCGTGCACGAGACATTTGTGGCGAGTGTCGTTAAGAGCTGTTTTGTGCACACAAAGACCGTAACGTCAGCTCTGAATGAGATGCTGGGTTGCTGCTGGCAGTTTGCCGAGTACGTCTTGCAGCAAGATGCCATGCAGAAGGACGTTGAAGAGCTCTCTGCTGATCGCATTGCATTGCTGAGCCAGGACTTTCATCGTCGCTTTGAGTTCCTGTATAGCGTATTGCAGGTCTCAGAAGCGCGTGACTTGCTCTTTCTGCTAGACAGCAATGGTTTTTTTGCCGAACGACGGTATAAGATGCAGCATCAATAAGGAACGCAGAGTAAAAGTATTTAACAGCTAGAAGAGCTGCATTTCGCTACGCTATCCATCCTGTACAACTGATTCTTTAAACGATACTATGGCGCAAAGATCTACTTGTTCATCAGCAGATCGTATCGCGTGGTGTGGACCACATACCTCGATCGTGATTGCAGATCGAGTCGTCAGCGAGTCGGATCGCGTGGTGTGGACTACATACGACGGATTGCGATCGTCGATCGAGTGGTCTTCCTCTTTAATTTTCGTCGTCAAAGTTACTCTGACGACACGGTGATATACCATCATCGTTCGTCGGCGGCTATTCCTTTTTCTATGACGCTTCGATCCCAAGTTCCGTCTTGATCGTGTGGTCTTTGTTATGGGTACTCGATAATATTCCGAGCCACCAGAAGATCCAGGCACGCACCTTTGTGGTGGAGCAGTGATCACAAAAGCTCTCTGTTATACCGACCTTCTACGGCCTCCTCAACTGTTGACTGACGGAGGGGTGCTCCGATACCGTATGCTAGTCGATTCTTACCTTGTGTGCCCGTCGATCTGGGCGTGTTGCGCTCTCCTCGGGTAGACTTGCTCCGATCTTGATCGTGATGGGGTCTGGGTCGAAGGGGGTGGATTATTGCGGGGAAATCCTTCACGCGATCGCAGCAAACACTGGCGCTTAAAGCTGCTTCAATCTACTCAGGACCTTCCTATCTTGTTTGTTCTCTTGAGCCGTCTAGTAGATCGTCTGACCACTTGAACCGTCTCATAGAAATCCCTTGCATGAACGCTGCGTCCGATCGCAGTTGGCTTGATTTGAGTATACTTGAACCCCTGGACAAAATCTTCCAGGGGTGACTGCTGTACGTATGTGACGTCCCTTTATTCAACCGGTGGCCAACAATACAAATCGGAAGAAATAAGAACACGTACGATTAGATGTTACCTATTTATTAGTCACTAACCGATACCTATACCAAAAATTAGCGTAAGGTACAAAGACTACCAATCGCTAATCTACAAATTTCAATACGACCAAAGTCCAATAAGGCCAAAAACTATCAACTAGCCTATTTGTATGAAGGGATCACAGCCACGCGTCGCCTTAGCAGCGATCGCGATCCGATGTATGTGGTCCACACCATGCGATCCGATTCGCTGACGACTGGATCGGCGATCACGACCCGGGACAGGGTAGGAGTCCGCACCGCGGTATTCGATCCGCTTACGACTCGATCTCGTTTGCGATCCGAATTAGGTGGCTCACATCACGCGAAATCGATCAGCTGACGAATTGGATATAGAAGATAAACCTACTCCACCCCCGGTCTCTGCGGATCGCGATAGAAAGCGCGATTCGCTAAATGGAGATCGATCAGTTAAAACCCAGAGATCTTCATTCAAATACCCTCCAAGTATCACATTCAAGATCAAGAAGAAGCAGAAGAAAAAACTTCGAGCAGCAGAATCGGATCAGTATGATTCAGTCAAGTCATTCGATCATGGCGATCCAGTAAAGTCTTTGGATCAAGATGACCAAGTGAAGTTGCTGGATCATGCACGTCCGTTCAAGTTTGTGGATGAAGGCGATCGTATTAAGTGGGAGGGATGACAGCTGGATCATAAAGCCACGAGTTTTATTGGAAAGAATTGAATGCGCTGTTACTGAATGATCCTGTGCTAAAGATCATGAAGCCAAAGCTGATCGGAGCGTTGAAAGGTCCAGTGTTGACACCGACACCGATGACGAACACGTTGAACAAGATCCTCCAGCTGATGCAGCTGTTACAAGATGCTGGTTTCGCTGCTGGATTGTTCGAAGCCCACAAACTACTCGATTGCAATCACGATCAGGTGATCGACTCAGCGCGATCGCTGTTTGAGAAGTTAGTTCCTATGACTGGTGTGAAGAAATTGACGGGTCACCTGAACAAACAGGAACGAGACAATACGAATGAGTACCACACTGGATCTATGCAGTTCGCCTCGGCAGAATCTGAAGCCTACTCGGAAGAGTCGAACAAGATTGAAAGGATGTCACTCGGACCTACAGGTGCAGCATCATTGCGTGAACGCAAGATTCGTATCAATGCCGAGCCGCGATCAGGGATTAGTTGAAATTTATGTGTATTTAATCGTTAACTACACCCTATATCTACTCGGCTGCGCTAAGATCTATACAACTTTTCCTCCGGCTGACAGTTTTTGATTCGGTGAGATTTTTCTTGCATAACTCGATTCTGATTCTTGCCGCTGGGCTTTGTATTCTGATTTGTGCTGCTAAATGATACCCGGGGTCCCAAGGGTATCTGAAAGACTTTTGCAGTTAGTGGGGATTGAAGCCGTGACCGCTGGGTCAACAAGGCGTTGCATTCCACCGCACCAGGGGGAACCCCCTCGATCAGGTATCAAACCCATGCTTGAAAGTATAGAACCGATCGGATCGAGCCAGTTACGATCGTATTTTGATGCTGCTATGAGAAGTTTGTTTGCGAAAAACAGACCAGACAGGGAATGATCGCTCCAGATCATCGATCAAGAATCCCTCCGGATTGCCGATTGTGCGATCCGGATATTGAGATGGAATCAGTGGGATCACGTGGTCGGCGTTCACACGAGTACGATCCGGACGATCGTGGCCTGGATGATCCTCGACGACCGTTAAAGCGACTGCAGAGACTATATCGAGGGGGGAGTTATTGCTCAGCGTACTCGAGCCTCGGCGATTGCAGATCTGATAAAGTTTACCGGAAGAGACAAGGACAAAGATTGAGCCAGAAATTGGATCAGCAAAGTCATGTCTGCGTTCCTACACGATCAGGCACTAGATGGGGACAAGTGCTTGATTTTTGTGATTTACTTACGTACTGGCTTGAAACTCGTATGCCCAGTCAATCAGATCGTCGCGCAACACTTGGAAATCACTCTTGTAAAGTTTCATGGTTCAGTATGAAGGATATGGTGTATTTGCCAGGCTATTATCATTCGTGGAATTAATCAGATGAAGCTCCTTTGGAGTATCTGTATCGATTGAACGTGGCGGGAGCGAAAGAGAGGTTTCACCACGAGATGGATCACTTACTGCTCGTCGGGAACATGTGGTACATTACATTGAAATATTGGATGATCGCGAATTTGAGCTGACGCTATTACGATTGGAAAATGAAGATGCCATGGAGGAAACGCTACGTGCGTATCATCGTATGGTGTCCCGTCAAGGTAAAACATCTATGGGATTGAGCAAGTTTCGCCAGCGATCTGCGATCCCACCCTATCCGACACCATCAAAACCTGCCCGCGCAGTGCGATCGATCCATGTTGAATGTAACAATAGAGAATCAGATTTAGAGACTAATGGATCGGATTTAGATGCGGATTAACGAAACGTTTGCGTCGCTGCTTCAGCGAATCGCACGAAGGGTCCCACAGATCGTGGATCAGGAAGAAAAGGTCCCAACATAGTAATGGTAACAATCAAGCTGGATCGCCGAATCCGTGTCCTACTGTGAATCGGTCAAGTACAGTGATCGTGGGTGTTGGAAGAGATTGACCTATCAGAGGTGTGGTCGCTACCTACGGTAGATGTGACGATCGCTGATATTCAAGTGGGCGATACATGTATACCTCTTACAACTGATCAAGAACAGCTACGCTAGCTGATCTGGAGAATCCGTCACCTTTAAATAGGAAAATAAAGCGCATTACCTCCGGCTGCACGTGGAGCTGTTTGCGGCATTGACGTTGTCGGAGCAGCCCCGATAGGACAACGGTTACGACCTGTGGCACCTAAGTTTTGTGAAAAGTTGGCAGATTTGATCAAGAGATTATTATCGCCCAAGATCATCCGGCCTCGACATCGCCATGGGCATGGGCATCACCGATCGTGGTGATCAGTAAAGACTGGCATGGATATCCTTTTGTCTATCAATTATCGACGAGTGAATAAGCTCACCAGACTAATGGCATATCCGATGCCGTTGATCAGCGAACTTCTTCAAGATATAGATAAGGCGATGTGGTATTGTTCTCTGGGTATGGCAAGTCGATTCTAGGTTGTGGAATGACAGAACGTGCAAGTATGGTCTCTGCGTTCATTACGCCACCCGATTGTTTAAGTGGTTGCGCATGCCTTTGAGCTGAAAAATGCAACGCAGATCTACCAACGACTGGTCGACAATGCCCTGTATGTTTTTTTAAGATTGGTACCGATCCGGATACAACCAATACTGGATCGCCAAAGCTGATCGACGTGTTTACTGAAGGCGAACCGGATACGGATCGAAAACAACCGGTGTTACGTCAACGACCTTGTATTGGTGATATATTGATCCCCGCCACCACGTGGACTTCTCTATACAAAAAAGTGGAGAAAGTATTGGAAGCGTGTAGTCAGTAGAGTTTAGCAATCAGCCTAGCCAAGACTTTCCGGGGGCGTCGAAAGGTGGAATATCTCGACCATCAAGTGTCACTTACCGTGTTGGAATCTCACCCAAAGAATCTAAGAGTCCGTGTGAATGTATCATTTTCTTGAAGGTTCGTTTAGGTCCGATAGCATTGACACATCAAAATCCTCAACGTTCCGACGGATGCAAACGTTTTTAAGGTAAATTTGAATTACTACAGTCTTTATCGAAAACTTCGCGATTTATGCATCAGTCCTATATGAACTGAGGGAGGCAGATTTCCATGAAATGAGTCGCACGGATCAAATGGATCCAGTTCTACTTGGCACTGGGAACAATAGCGATTCAAATCAAGATGGTAACATCCGCGATCCGAGTCGCGATGAATACATCCACGATCCGAGTCGCGATGAATGCATCCACGATCCGAGTCGCGATGAATACATCCACGATCCGAGTCGCGATGAATACATCCACGATCCGAAACCAAATGGGTACATCCGCGGTCCGGAGCCAAATGGGTACATCCGCGATCCGGACCCCAAGACAGGACGAGTGTGATCCCAATGGCAGAAAGTGTTTGGAGATAGGCCACAATCGCAGTCATTATGTTGAAGGTCAAGATTACGACTCCGATCCTCAAACATTTTGATCCGGATCAAATTTCAGTGATCCAGTAAATGGGCGGTCTCAGCATCTCTACTTCAGAAGTATGAAAGCGTGTATTGGCCAGTAACTTTTACAAGCCGTATGTTGAAGCCCAATGAAGTGAACTATGGGATGGTGGAAAAAAAGAAGTATTGGCTCTCCTTCGTATGTTGAATGTTAAATATACTATGCTAGTATCATGAGTGATTAAGGCGATATTCTACGTTAACATGGCTGGTACAATCTTCTGGGCTCAATGGTAGACTGGGTAGATGGGCTGCGCTACTATCGAACTGGATGTTAGAGGTCAGCAGATGTGTGAAAGGGGAAGATGAGATACTATGTGTTCTTGCGACAAGTGTAACCCCTCGCGAAAAGTGGATCAAGTGCTGATCGCGATAGCCACACAGAAGCAGCCGAGGCATACCGTCCTCATGCCTCCACCTACAGTGGAGAAAGATGAGAGCCTACTGGTGGCCAGTTTGACGAGTCAGCGCAGATTAAGCGGAACGGTATAGCTTACAGTGAGATTGTGTAGAAACTGCCAGATTAGAAGATTATAGCTGCAGCCTCGGAGTATACAGTAAATGTGACTGTAAATGAGGCTGTGTACCGGAGTCTGCTGTTGGCTTTCGATCTGCTTAAGGATCAGATGAAGGGACGGGTGGTCAACTGTGGTGACTAAAACCTAGTGATCCGGCAGATGCGTGGAAAGATTGATTGCAAGGCACCAGTATTACAGCTTTTACGTCAAAAGGCTATAGAAGACATCGATCGTGGCCGAATCTACAAATTTCTACATATGAAACGAGATTGAAATCAAAGAGCTGATCAGCTAGCAAGCGAAGCATTATATCGAGAAACAGTCGCTACTGTCTTTTCGGATCAATAAACTCAAGATCTGATGACCTCAATAGATTGGACGATCTTCTGATAGCAAAAGGAGCCGATCGAGTAGTCAAGATGGCCACGATCACCCTATCGGCTGTAAGAAGACGTCGTCAACCTGAAGTATTCGAGAATAGATCGTACAAACTTCGAGTCGAGCAAGTTAAACAAGAGCAAGATGAAGAAGGATGGATCGCCAACTTGACGACGTATCTGGTTGGGTACGTGGCGACGCTAGATGCCGAGACAGCAAAATCAAGCGCCTTTATCGCGCCAGATCATGAGGTATATGAAAGTGGATTGTTGCTTTTCTGCACTCGATCGACTGCCAACTCGGATATCAAGTGGTTCTGGTTTGCTTGGTGGTACCATAACTATTGCAGCAAGACTTTTTGCACCAATACCATTATAATTTTGAAGGTGGACACCAAGGTATTGGTAGGACCTATCACGGGGTCCGATCCGACTTCTATTGGCGAGGTTTGTGTCGCCGTTTACAACAGTATATGGGCGAATGCGTGGATTGCGACACTGGAAAAAGGCGTCTCGTGATCAGTGGTGAATCTCCTGGGAATGTCCAAGCAACGTATCCATTTCGAATAATTGCCATGGATCCTATCCCGTCGTTACCACGATCGCACAAAGTAAATGCGTAATTATTGCTGTGAATCAATCCATTATGTGGGTATGTGATCTCGAAGGCAAGTTTGTCTCGAACAGCACAAGTAATTGCAGAAAATTACAAAGAATGTGTGTTTCGGCGGTTTGGTTCCAGAGAGGCGATCCGTCACGATCGTAAGCCGGGATTCATGTCGGAATTTTTTTGAGCGTTCAACCGGGTCGCTGGACAGAAACAGCGTGCAACGATGGATTACCGGCCTCAAGCTAATGGAACTGCGGAACGTATGGGTTAAACTTTGACACGGGCTCTGAAGATGTATGTGACGGATGTGGATCAGAAGTATTGGGATGTATATGCGGATCGATTGACATTTGCACTTAACACAGCGCAAGATCACGTCTGTGGAGATACCCCTTTTTATATAATTCATTGTTGGGGTCCAAGATCTACTCTGGAAGCAACGTTACCCTGGAAAGTACCAAAACGCGCGATGGGGATCCACGGATGTGGAGATACCGGATTCAGCGGCAATACCAGCGTGCTTGGGCTGTTGTGAATGATTGATTGAAGAAAGCGATCAGAGATCGAGCCGGTCAACACAATGGGGATCAAGAGATATATGACATTGATTGCTGATCGCAATTCTGGCTATATTTGGATCGTGTAAAGGAAAGATATGCGAAGAAATTAGCGCATATGTGGCATGGACCGTTTCAAGCTACTGAATTGTGTGGAGATCACACGGTACGTTTGGCGGTTGGGGATATGCCGTATCGGCGGTCTAGTGGCATGCTTCTCGCTTCGGGTGAGAGAGGTCCCGGGTTCGACTCCCGGTGAGGCCATGGTCGCAAAGACCATAACAGTAACAGTTAAAGGACAACCTTCCGCCACTTTTCATTTTCTAGCGTTGTGATCCATACCATGCGTCATTACCAATCATCAATTGAAAGTGATGGTTAGTGACGCCAATGTTCATCCATTAATCCATTGAGGTGTTGAACGACACCTGTTAGAAGTAGCAACTCGTTTACAAGTATCTATGTCCTAAGTACGAGTGTGTTCCAACTCAAATATATATTGATTATTTTCCGTGGCTCACGTTTCAAAGCTGAAACATGTAAATATGCTTTCAGATCGGCCTAAGAACATGTGACGATTGCCAAAGAAGATCACGAAAATTTTGACGAGGCAATGTTGCCTGATGACAGTTGGGAAGAAGAAGTGTGAAGTGGCGAGTTCGAAGTGGAGAATTTCGTCGACGTGCTTTCTAACCGCAAGACCCGTTACGGTCGAGTCCAGCGAGAATATCTGGTACACTAGAAGGGCTATGAGGATCCGACATGGGTGGATAAAGCTGATTTAAATTGGGTGCTTTGTTGCAAGATTTTGACCGTGATCGTACGAGAGTTTATCGTTTTGAAGTAACGCAATCGCATGGAGAAGAAATCGGTGAGCAAAATTGACAATCAGATGGATAGGAAGAGTGAAGATATACAGGAAGGTTGTATATTATGTTGGAAGGGCTATTTGTGTATTGATTTTGACGATCGCAAGTTATTTGTACCGGATCGGGGCGAAAAGTTGATGATCACGGGTAATAATATCGGATCGTTAGCGAAAAGTTAGCGATCACGGGCAATAGTATCAGATTGTGTTCGAAATTTTGATGATCTCGGGTAATTCTATCGTATTGTGAGCAATAAGTTAGTGATTACGAGTAATTATACCTGATCGCGATCGACGAGAGCATAAAAACAACTAAAATGTGTAATAGTATATATTCAAGACCGACATATAATATTAAGCTACTTTTTTAAGAATTTGCCGACTAATCGCGGAATTGCGGAGCCAGAGTGACGATGCGATCGACGATCGATATTGGGTTCGCCATGGATACAAACTATCTGACTTATACAACGCCGTGAATAGGTTGAGATTTTAGTCTGTTTAACTCTCAACCCGGGATACCACATCTTTGCTCATTCGGCCAAGGAAAGTGCGATAAAAAGGGGACCATCAAGATATCCATATCACAATGACCTGCGATCATCCCTCAAAGCATGAATCGAAGAATATTCTCTTAATGAAGTCCTGATCGTGTTCGGCGTTGTTTTCTCTCGTTACAGTAAGGTGGATCGAGCCGCTGCTATTCAGTGAAGATTGGTAGTACATGGGAAGATTCTCACAAGGCTTGCGAGTGATGATTGAGGAACTCGCTCCACAGAGTAACCAGGTCCTTATACTACCCAGATTTTCAAAATGAGATCGGTTCGATCGGCTAATTCAGGGCTTTCCACGGTTCATGGCTGTAAAGCGTCGAGATCTCGCATTAAGTCAGCAAATGGGGCGCCCACTCAGATCAGGGGGCAGTCGAAGTACACCAACTTGGATCGGAAAAACATATCCGTGGGGTTTTAAGAAGTGGAGATTAAAGAGATCGAAATTCAGCTTAGCAACGCTGATCAAACTAACCCGTTTAGCCGTCCAAGTGGCCACATCAGCAGAGGATCGCGGAACTCGATCGCGGTACCCAGGGATCCACTGATCGAGATACTTTGGTTGGAGGAAGCTGGATGTAGCGGTCAGGGGAAATAACGTCGCTCGCGATCTCTCTGGTGACGCTAAAGTCACGGAAATTGCCCTCCAAGTCACTGGAAGCCTCTCCAAAGGGATCAACCTGGATATTTCTGACGCTTGATTTGCGACAATGGAGGGGGAGGAGGCATAGAAGGACTCTATGATTCCAACACGATCGGAGTAGACGATGCAAGTGCACGTGGAATAATGTAGTAGTATCGAGACCCACATCTCGAATTCAAACGTGATTCGGACAATGCTGAAAGGGTTGGTTCATCCAATGTGCTAGAAGAAACACTATCCTTTGATCTAACGGAGGTTGATGGTCCAACTCGTTGTTTGTTCTAGCCCACTCGATCGGGTCTGGTTTGAGCTGCAGCTAAATTCGAAGGTCCTAATCGAATGGAAGGAGATCGCTTGGGTCCTGCCTTTTGTCCCAACCGAACTTGATTACTTGATCTCTGAACGTTCTATGGAGCTTGTGAGGGTGAATTGCTAGACCCGGGGGTACCAGACGTTCTAGATCGGACCCGACGGGACGGCGTCGCAGTAGGGGCTGGCGGATCGCAAGCTAGCTTAGGTGCTGGTGAAGCCGTTCGAGAGGAAGGCTGCGAACGGGTCGAAGACAAATTAGCCAGCTAATTACGGAGTGCATCGTGATCGTGTATGGCGTTGCCTCTCTTTGCCTCTCTACGAATGACCTGGACCTACAATCGATTGATGATGGCGTCTCAATCTGCGGCGTCGTGGAACAGCTGATCACATCTATCCGACTGATCGAAACAATTCTTAATTCTTTTTGGAATTCGATCGAATCTTGGGTCGCTGCGTGTAGTTGATACTGGGATATGTATATCTCCGCTGTATATATTGTACATAATGAGACGTCGATCTCAGCAGGCGCGCGATCTCTCCTTTCAGCCGATTGACTCTGGTCAATTGGGATACGAAGGTATTTTCAAGCTCGCCATACCGATCCACCATCTCCTGCTAAGCTCTCATCCGTATAAACAGAAAATCTTACAAAGTGTCCAAAGTGTATCAATTCCCCGTAAGATGAGAGACTCACCCGCTTGGACGCATTGGCTGGAGATCACTCGCAATTGCGGACGTGATCGCGCGGTTGCATAGATAGTCAAGGGCAATGCCTTATTTACACCTAAGGAGATCGTGTCAGCAGACCAGGAGCGGGACCGAGGACGGTGATCAGTCGAAACTGGCATTTCAAGATCGGGCTTCTGACCAGATCGAGCAGATCTCGCGATCGGGACAGATCCAGAATAGATCACGATCGAGGAAGACAATTGACTTGAAGAGAAGGATTTAGACGAAGAAGGTGAGGCAAAGGTCGAGCGTTTTATGGTAAAGAAGACTTAAATTCTTAAGTAATTTGACACTGGATGTCAAGTACCAGTGCAGAGGGCGATTATGAAGAAGTGAAGATTATGGAAATAGGCTTTTTGCGCGCGACCCGGTAATCCAATGATTGTGGTAAGTCCATATCACACGTGATTGATCAATAAAGTAATCGCACGGTGTGGAACACACAAAAACACGAAAGCGATCGTGCCAAGCCGATCAAATCGTCTAAGCTTTGGATCGCGTGGTGTGGGCCACGCATCCCAGATCACGATCGCGGACCAAGTCGTAGCGGATTGGATCGTGTGATGTTACCTATGTATTAGTCACTAACCAATACCTATAACCAATTTTAGCGTAAGGTAGAAACACTACATATGGCTAACTTAGAAAAGTCAATACTACCCAATGTCCAATAAGGCCAAAACTATCATCTTGTTGATTTGTATGACAGGACCAACGCCACGCGTCGCCTCAGCAGCAATCGCGATCAGAGGTATGTGGTCCACACCACGCGATCCGATTTGCTGACGACTCGATCGGCGATTGCGATCCGGGTATGAGTCCTCACCATGGAATCCGATCTACTGACGACTCGATTGGCATTTGCAATTCAAAGTAGGTGGCTCACTTCACGCGATCCGATCTGCTGAAGGATCGATCTGCAATTGCAAGCCGAAGTAGGTGGCTCACATCGGATCGTGCGTGCTCTTATTTCTTTCGGGTTGGATTTTTGGCCACCCGTTGAATCAAGGGACGTCACATACGTACAGCAGATCACCCCTGGAAGATTTTTTCCAGAGGTTCAAGTATACTCAAATCAAGCCAACTGCGATCGGACGCAGCGTTCAAGCAAGGGATTTCTATGAGACGGTTCAAGTGGTCAGACGATCTACTAGACGGCTCAAGAGAACAAACAAGATAGGAAGGTCCTGAGTAGATTGAAGCAGCTTTAAGCACCAGTGTTTGCTGCGATCGCGTGAAGGATTTCCCC